TTCAGAAGGACAAGTTCTGGGGAGGTGAGGCACTCAAGTTGGTCCTGTTGAATTTTTTGTTTTAAGGTATAATTCACATGCCATCACAGTCACCCTTTTAAAATATGTAATTTGGTGGTTTTAGTATAATTACAAAGTTGTGCAACCATCACCACTAATGGCAGAACATTTTCTCTGCTCTGAAAAGAAATGCTGTACCCCTTAGCAATCTCTCCCATTCCCCCTCCTCGCACCCTACTTGCCTACTGTGCACATTTCCTATAATATATACAACATGTGGTCTTTTGCATCTGGCTCCTTTTACTTAGCATACTGTTTGTTAGGTTCATCCATGTTGGTTGTAACATGAATCAGCTTGCCATTCCTTGTTATGGCTGAGTAACATTCCATTGTATGGATATACCACCTCTGACTTATCTGTTTAGCAGCTGATCACATTTGGGTTGTTTGCATTTTTTGTCTTTGTTGCTATGAATACTGATGTCCAAGTGTTTGTATGGACATGCATTTTCAGTTCTCTTGGGTGTATACCTAGGAGTGGGATTGCCGAGTCACATGATAATTCCATGTTTAACTTTTGGGGGGAACTGTTGTCCAAAGGGTCAAGTTGAGTTTGAGATACCTGTGAGATGTCTGGGGAGGAGAGCCAGGGTAGGGGGAAGGAATGTGTGTCACTAAGCTGTGGGAAATGTAAGCTTATATTGAGTACAGAATTTTGGTGTGTCTTGTTCACTTCTGTATTTTTACTGCTTACAAAAGGGCTTGGCAGGTGATAGAGGCTCAATAAATAAGTATTTGTTGAATAACTAAATGAATGTGTGTGTGTGTCTGAGCCTCGGAGAAAGTGCAGAAGTAGAGATAGAAATCGGGGGACACAGGAAAATAACTATTTACAATGAATCAAAAACAATAAAATACCTAGGAATAAACCTTACCAAGGAGGTGAAAGACTTATGCTCTGAAAACTACAAGACACTCATGAGAGAGATTAAAGAGGACACCAAAAAATGGAAATCTATCCCATGCTCATGGATAGGAAGAATTAATATTGTCAAAATGGCCATCCTGCCCAAAGCAATTTACAGGTTCAGTGCAAACCCTATCAAAATAACAACAGCATTCTTCAATGAACTAGAACAAATAGTTCTAAAATTCATATGGAACCACAAAAGACTCCGAATAGCCAAAGCAATCCTGAGAAAGAAGAACAAAGCTGGTGGAATATACTCCCTGACTTCAAGTTTTACCACAGAGCTACAGTAATCAAAACAGATTGGTACTGGCACAAGAACAGACCCATAGATCAATGGAACAAAATAGAAAGCCCAGATATAAACCCACACATATATATTGTCTAACTCCATACACAAAAGTAAACTTGAAATGGATCACAGACCTGAATGTAAGTCATGAAAGCATAAAACTCTTAGAAGAAAGCATAGGCAAAAATCTCTTGAATATAAGCATGAGCAATTTTTTCTTGGACACATTTCCTTGGGCAAGGGAAACAAAATAAATGAACAAATGGGAACTACATCAAACTAAAAACTTCTGTACAGCAAAGGACACCATCAGCAGAACAAAAAGGCATCCTACAGCATGGAAGAACATATTTGTAAATGACTTATCCAAAAAGGGATTAACCTCCAAAATATACAAAGAACTCATATGCCTCAACACCCAGAAAACAAATAACCCAATTAAGAAAAGGGAGGAGGACCTGACAGACACTTCTCCAAAGAAGAAATACAAATGGCCAACAGGCACATGAAAAGATGCTCCACATCGCTAATGATTAGGGAAATGCAAATTAAAACCACAATGAGATATCATCTCATACCAGTTAGAATGGCCACTATCCAAAGACAAGAGAGAACAAGTGTTGGCAGGGGTGCAGAGAAATAGGAACCCTGCCACACTGATGGTGGGACTGCAAATTGGTGCAACCATTGTGGAAAGCAATACGGAGGTTCCTCAAAAAGCTAAAAATAGAAATACCATTTGACCCAATAATTCCACTCCTAGGAATTTACCCAATTAAAACAAAATCTCTGATTCAAAAAGATATATGCACCCCTATGTTTATCGCCGCACTATTTACAGTAGTCAAGATATGGAAGCAACCTAACTGTCCATCAATAGATGAATGGATAAAGAAGAGGTGGTACATATACACAATGGAATTTTATTCAGCCATAAAAAGAAAAGAAATCCTGCCATTTGCGACAACATGGATGGATCTAGAAGGTATTATGCTCAGTGAAATAAGTTAGATGGAGAAAAATATTATATGATTTCACTTATTTGTGGAATATAAAAACAAAGCAAAACATAAGGAACAAAACAGTATTAGACTCATAGACACTGAGAAGTGACTAGTGGTTACCACAGAGGAGGGGAGTGGGTGGGGGTGCAGGGGGGGGAGTGAGAGGAGGACCGTTGAACCACTGTGATGTACATTTGATTTAAAAAAAAGAGAAATCAGGGGACACCGTGTGTGACACCTCACATGGGATCTGCCTGCTCTGAGAATGGAAGCCAGGGCTATGAAGCAGATGGGCATTTAAAGAGGAACTAGTGAGGGAGGGCTTGAGACAGTGAAAACAGGAGGATTATTATGTGCTTACTGTGTGCTAATTTCCTTAAAGAGAACTCATGAAAATGTCCCCCAATCAGCTAGACTCTTTCTTCTGGGCCCTAGCCCACAGCTCAGTGAAGGGTCAGGCCTTGCTTATATTTGTTGAATGAACAGTGTCTTTGAAACGGGTGCCATGGCCTCCATTTTACTGATAAATCCAAGGCTCAGAGAGGTTTAGTCTTTAGCTTGAAGCTACACAGCTGGTGAGTGGCAGTGCTGACACCTGAACCTCAGCCTCTGGGACCCAGAGGCCACACTCTTGGCCACTGCACCACGCAGCCTCCTCCATGAGGGGCTGTTGGAAAGAATAGGGAAGAAGGGCTACTGGAGATGCTGTTCCTTCAGCAGCGGGCCACCTTGGTGGTGGCAGCCTGGCCAGGTCGAGATGCATGTGCTTTTGGAGGGGTGAGCATGGCCAAATGCTCATTCTATTATTACCAGAACTGAGGTCACTGACGTTTTCCTTTGACCCCAGGTGACAGATGCCTGAATCAGCCCCAGCCTGCAGCCTGGGTGTGGCCCTGCCTCCCCTCTGCTCCGCTGGCTCCAGGCGGACATGCTGATGGCTGATGCTGGGCTGCTCAGGGGAGGGGGCAGAGTCCTGGGTCTGAGACCTGGAGCCTGGGGTCTGCCTCTAACTCTCCGGGCTTCAGTTCTTCCATCTGTGTTGTAAGGAGTTGGTATTGAGCAAAGAGAGAAATGAGGGTGGGGTGTCACAGCTGGGGGCTGCCAAAAGGGAGGTCAGGGACCTCTCCCACAGGGGCTCAAAATGTGGAGTAGCACTCACCACCCCCCAACAGCTCCTTCTAGCTTGAGCATGAAGCCAGAAGCCTCCTTAGGGAAGGACGCTAAGGAGAGCACAGAGGCGTGGGTGAGCCCCCCACTCCCCGTCCCCCAGAGGAGGCTGCAGGCAGGACGGTAGGCTCAGAACACGGGGAACTTGGGGCCTTTGTCAGGCCTCATGTGCTGGCATCTGGGACCTGCAGGAGACAGCAGTGACCATGCTTAGCTTAGGCTTGTGGGGGTGGTTTGGCTCCAGTGCCAGACTGAGGGAGGGTCTTGAAGAAAGAGAGGAGTGGACTGGGGGTGGCAGGAGGACTTAGGTGGGCTGCATTCCTAGGGCCTGGAGCAAGGAGACAGCCCCAGAGAACTAGCAGTGACTCTGGGACTAAGAGGCGCAGAGGATTCTGTTGCCAGGCCTGAGCTCTAGAGCACAGGAGAGGGGCTTTGAGCGCAAAGTTCAAAGGACAGATGGGCTGGGGGTTAGGGTTGGGGGTGAAGGGGTAAAATATAACCGCCCACAGTCAGACACAGCCATAGGTGTGCTCACACAGGACTCTCAGTTTTAAGCAACAGAAACCAAACCCAAACTGCCTTAATTAAAAGAAGGGAATTTATTAGCCTTATATAACTGAAAAGTTCAGAAGTAGATTTTTTTCAACAGTCTTCAGGCATGACTGGATTCAGGTGCTCAAAGAACATTGATTGACAAGTCTTGGTCATGTGCCCCCCACCCCAATCCTGGGGCTCGGAGGGAGGTCAGCTTTGCTGGACCTCCCCGATTAAAAGTGGAGAACCCAAAGGAGCAGAGATCCTTGAAGCTGGGAAGGAAAGGCCAGAATTTCCCCAGAAAGCTCAACTGAGGCCAGATGCCACAAGGCCTTCAGAGGGTCACTTGCCCCATTTCCTTTCCCACACCCTTTGCCAGGGACTCCCAACATGGCAGAGATAATCATAGCTAATGTCTATATGGCTCCTACTCTGTGCCAGTCCCCTTCTGAGTGCTTTTACATGCATTAACTCACAAGAACTGTTATTGTTATCCCCATTTTACAGATGAGGAAACTGAGGCAGAGAAGTGAATAGCTTACCTCAAATCACACAGCCTGTGAGTAGTGTAGCTGGGAATCAACTCCTGGCTCTTGCACACCAAAGGCCAGGCTTTCAGCCATCATGCTCTGCTGTTTCTTGGTAGGAGGGCTTCAGGAAGGAAGGAGCACCCTGGGAATGAGGACTGTGGTCCAAGAGGCTCAGCCTGCAGACCCCAAATCCTGCTCTTGGGAAAGGATCTGAAGGAGTCCTTCAGTGGGTCTCCTTCCTGGGAATTAGTATTTTCGGAGTGAAAAGAATGGTGGAAGTTCAGGCATAGGCCAAGTGGGGAGGCAGGTGAGGCTCTCCTGCCTCCAGTCCGAGATGTAGCTTCAGGAACAGCGAGTGGCTCAGAGATATATCTGGGGAAGGGGAGGGGAAGGACCTGACATGTCCGGCTGGTGCCAGAGAGGGCGGTGGCCCACTTAGCCACATGCCATTCTGAGCAGCACCGCCAAGCTCTGGCCCCTCTGCCCCTCCAATCCCTCTGTAGGTGGGTGTTTGTCTATGAAAAGGGCTACCAGACCTCGAGCGGCCTCATCAGCAGCGTGTCTGTGAAACTCAAGGGTCTGGCCGTGACGCAGCTCCCAGGCCTGGGCCCCCAGGTCTGGGACGTGGCTGACTATGTCTTCCCAGCCCAGGTGAGCTGACTCAGGGCTGCACCTTCCACCCACAGGGCCTGGCTCAGAGCTGGTTGGGCTCTGTCTCACGGCCCTACAGGACCAGGCCAGCTCCTTCGTCTCTCTGAGGGGCAGGAGCAGCCTCCTAGTATCACCCACTCTGCTCTCATGGGGCATGGAGGCTGCTGGGTGCCACGTGGATTCTAGAGGCCTCCTGGAGCAGCGCTTGGGTTCTCCAGGCTGTTCCCGCAGCTCAGAGCCCTGCCCTCCCTCCCCCTGCCTCTCACTTCCAGGGGGACAGCTCTTTCGTGGTCATGACCAATTTCATCGTGACCCCCCAGCAGACGCAAGGCTACTGTGCAGAGGTGAGGACTGCTGCTGTTCCCCCTTCTCTTCTTGGGCCCACAGGGAAAAATAACATGAAGAGGAGGTCCTCTTGGACACTAGAGGCGAAGCCAGACAGGCTTCCTACCAGGGCCACAAGGGTGGAATTCCAGGCATAGATTCACACCAGCAAGCAGCCACCATTGGCAGTGCTGAGGCTCCCCTCGCAGCTGTGTGCCAGACTGGACGCTGAGCCTCAGGGCCCGCCCAACCCCAGGTCCCAACCTCCCACCCACTGCCTGCTGACAGCCACAGTGGGGCAGCTGGGCATGAGCCCGAGGGCTCCCTGGGAGGGGCCTGTGGGGAGGAGGCTGTGAGCAAGGGTCACCCCAAAGCAGTCTGGGACTCTGCCACCTGCCCTCCCTGGGGTCTTGGGAATGGGAGGGACTCTTTTCAGGACCCCACCTGAGGGACCTGGGGCGAGCAGATCTCCCCTCCCCCAGCACCCAGAAGGGGGCACATGCATGGATGACAGTGGCTGCAGGCCAGGGAAGGCAGAAAGGAAGGCCCAAGGTAAGGTTGGCCTCCTGTTGACACCCTCCACAGCCGCTGTCAACCCCAGGCTTCTTCTACCAGGAAGTCCTTCCTGCTCTCTCCCCTCCTGCCACCCTGACCTTGGCCTGCCTCGTCCCAGACCCAGCCACATTTCTGTCCTTAGGCCTCTGCTTTTGGGTGTCCTGTCACTTGGAGATCCTAAGGGTGGGACTGGGGGGCCTCCTCTGCACACCCATTTGGGGTGGACACTCATGGATTCCTCCCTTGCTCCAGGCATCCGCACGGGCAAGTGTGTAGCCTTTAATAACACTGTGCAGACATGTGAGATCTTTGGCTGGTGCCCTGTGGAAGTGGACGACAATATCCCGCGGTAACACTCTGTCCTTCCAGAGAGCTGGGAAGAGGGTCCCCAACCCAGACAGAGGGGCATCTGGATACATGCTCTGGAAAGGATCAGTTGCCCCTTCTTCCAACCCCACCTGGACCCCATCTGTGTGGCCAAAGATGCCCCTGGTCCCTGGTCAAGGGGCCTGAGAGTCACCATTACAGCATACCCACCCCTCCACTGACCCCACAGGTTCTCCCACCCCACATACAGTGCCAAGCTCTGGTGGGCACACAGGGTTCTCCTGGGGAGGGGGCAGTGAATAAGTGTGGTCTCCTCCAGCCCTGCTCTTCTCCGAGAGGCCGAGAACTTCACTCTCTTCATCAAGAACAGCATCAGCTTTCCACGCTTCAAGGTCAACAGGTTCGCGGGAAAAGCAAATAGAAATGCAGGCGGCTTCCTGAGGCTGCTCCAGCTGGTCTGAACTGTCTCCACTCCTGCTGATTTCACTCTGGGGGCAGAACCCTGGGCTGAGCCCCTGGGATGGGCTGCCTTCAGTCTCAAAGATCTGTGGCAGGGGCATTTCTGGAGCCCCTGAGGGATCCCCAGAGCTTTGGGGCATGGTAGGCATCCTCCTAGCTGGTACACTGCTGTCACAAATGCCCTCTGTCTCCACAGGCACAACCTGGTGGAGCAGGTGAATGCTGCCTACATGAAGACCTGCCTCTATCACAAGATCTTGCACCCACTGTGCCCTGTCTTCAAGCTTGGCTATGTGATACAGGAGTCAGGACAGAACTTTAGCACCCTAGCCGAGAAGGTATGGTACTAGGAGAGTGGGGACATCCGGGCCCCAGGATCATCAGGCCAATAAAGGCTTTTCAGGCCCAGTTAGCCACCCTCTCAAGCCTCCCTGGTGTGGACCAAGTTTATATATGGATTATCTCCTAATACTGGGGTCCCCTGAGGGTCAGGCCGGTGTCCTCAGCAGGGCCAGTATGCACCTGGCACAGAGGAGGTACCCAGAATGGATGGACATCTGTTGAGATCCCACTGTTTTTTAAATATTAGATAAAAGCAGCCTGAATCTCATTGCCCGTGGCTCTGAGAAATCCTGTTCCCTGGCCAGGATTCCTGGGAATTCTGGATACTCAGTCACCTGGAGCTCTAAGAGAAATGGTATCATGAGGAGCACAGACCTCTCTGACCTGGTTCAAATCCTGGCTCTGGGCCTAACAAGCAGCATGACCTCAGACAAGTGTCTGATCTTCAGTGTGTCTGAGCTTTCGTACACTGTGAAGTGGGGGCAATAAGAGTAGCAGTCTTCCGGGGTTTTCTTGGGGATCAAGTGAGTTCATGCACAGGACAGCACTTTAGTACCTCCTGGCATGTGGCAGCTCCCTGTGTGCTCCCACGTGATCATTATTACCCTGTTCCTGAGGCTGCCTATCCCTTTTCTGTGATATCCCACACACATACACACACACACACACACACATGCACACACACAAAACCTCATTCACAACACGTTTATGTAGAAGAGGGGTCGGCAAACTTTTTCTTTAAAGGGCAAGAAAGTACGTATTTCCAGCTTTGCTGGCCATATGGCTTCTGCTCCAGCTACTCAAGTCGGCTGCCTGTCGGGCAAAGCAACCACGGACAATACATAAACAAATCTGGCCCTTGTGCCTCAGTTTGCAGACCCCTGGAGGGCGTTTATACTGTAGCAACATGCAGGACCAGAAGGCTGAGTGTCAGACCTTCCTGTTCCTAAATCTTTCTGCCACCCTCACTGGAAACTTCTCCATCACCATAGGGTACCAGCCTCCTGCCTAGTGGCCCAGATCCTCACCTGCTCTGACCATCTCCCATCTCTCCTGCTGCTCAGCCTACCATCATCTGTCCCTGATCCTTTCCTTGTTCAGAGGAGCTGTACTTTTTCAAGTTTTCTCTACCCAGCCCATGTCTTAACAGACTCATTCTTTAATCCAGCAACTCTTTACTTGCCTCCCAGGCTGTGACTCATGCTGGGAGCTCAGGAGCCAGGGTGAATGAGGCAGACAGCCCCATCTTTGTGGAGCTTACAATCTTGAAGGAGATGGGTTGATAATCACACAAGACAAATATGTGATTACAAAGTGACAAATGTCGAAGAAGAAAACACAGAGGGAATAATAGGGATGTATTTTAGATTGGTGGGAGGAAGGGGAGGCCTCTCAGGAGAAATGACCAAAGGTTGAGAGATAGCCAGCCTTGTGGGTAACTGGGGCAACTGCATGTGCAAAGGCCCCAAGGTCAGAAGAACTTTTGTTCTAGAAAGCTGGAGTGATTGGGGGAGGTGGGGCCAGAGAGGGAAACAGGACCTTGATCCTGAGGCAGCTTCTCAGTGTCTCTTCTCAAACAAAAAATGTGTTCCCTCTTCAAGAGACTGCTGGCACTCCTGTAAGGCAGGAGTTCCTTCATCCTGAAACCCCAGACCTTAAACAGCTGTGTTTGTGTCAGGGCGGGGTGGTGGGCATCACCATCGACTGGAACTGTGACCTGGACTGGCACGTGCGACACTGCAAACCCATCTACGAGTTCCATGGGCTGTATGAGGAGAAAAATCTGTCTCCAGGCTTCAACTTCAGGTGCCTGCTGAGCCCCTACCAGTGCACCCTTCCTTGGGGTCCTGAGGGCTTTTCTACTCCCAGAATCCACTGGGGCTGCGTAACTGTCCTGGGAGGGGAGCAGAGGAGCCCGGACAGCTCCCATTCTGCTGGGGCTGGCCAAGCAGGGCGCCAGCAGGGAACAAGACCTTGGAGGGCTGAGCCCCTGCCCCTTGAAGACCACCTGGCCAGGACTGGGAATTTCCACTGGGAAATTGCTGACATCAAGAGTTAGGGCAAGGGTTGAATATAGCTTTCCTGAAGGTTGAATTCAGTCTGGGATCCAGCTGTGACCCCCCCCTCTGTATAATATTGGGGGGGTCTGCAGCTGTCCTCATGGACCTCTAAGGGGCCCCTGCATCCCTGATGCTCTGAGAACTCTGTGCCCAAGATAGTTTTCCATCACCTTCTCCTGCAACCTCACCACTTTCCCAAGGTTTGCCAGGTACTTTGTGGAGAATGGGACCAACTACCGGCACCTCTTCAAGGTGTTTGGGATTCGCTTTGACATCCTTGTGAACGGGAAGGTGAGTGCTCAGTATAAGGGACAGCCAGGCACACATTCTCAGCTCCTGTGAGTGCCAGTTGGGTGTCTGTGTTTACAAACGACAGCAAGTTGGCTGGGCTTCACTCAGTAGGTCTATTTCTGAGAGCAGGCAGCGCTGGGTGCCACTGAGGGCAGGACTTCCCAGCCTGTGACATTACCTCCCCTGCTCTGTCCTGGTGTCTAGGAAGGCAGAGCGAAGGTCAAAGCCCAGGGCTCCCGAGCAGCCTCTGGGTCCTCATGTAGAGCCAGAGCTGTGGGCAGTAGGCGGTGGGGCCAGTTATCAGAGTAGGGGGTGGGCCTGGCCTTAGGGCTTCTGAGGAGGGCCTGTTCCACCAGGCCCCTTCTGACTCTAAACCCTTCTCTCCCCTGGGCACTGCCACCAGGCTGGCAAGTTTGACATCATCCCCACAATGACTACCATTGGCTCTGGGATTGGGATCTTCGGGGTGGTGAGTACTGGGATCATGGGGACACCGTGCTGCAGTCAGTCCTTCATCTTCTACCTCTCAGTAGCAGCAAAAACCCCAAACCTTGACTGTAATTGTCCATCCTGACTGAGCCTGCCCCACCACCCTAGATCCACAGTATATCTGAGGAAACTGAGGCCCAGAACTGGGGCAGGACAGAGGTGGGATGGGGCGGTCTTGGTCACCTGTGGCGCCTGCAGGGCCTCATTCCACCTCCAGGACCTGAGGCCTAGATAGGGCAGGATTCACCTTCAGCAGGGCCTAAGGGATGTGGAGGGCTCTGTCCCTGCCCCCAGATTTCCCACACTCTCCCCACCTCCCCCCACCCTGCCCCCAGGCCACGGTTCTCTGTGACCTGCTGCTGCTCCACATCCTGCCCAAGAGGCACTACTACAAGCAAAAGAAGTTCAAATATGCAGAGGACATGGGGCCGGGGGCGGTAAGAGACTGCCTGAGCCGGCCCTTCCGAGGCCTCAGGCCCATGTGTCTGTGTTGGGGGGCCAGCTGCTTCCCTGAGGCTGACTTTTATTCCCCCCAATGCTTCCACAGGGTGAGCATGACCCCGCGGCTACCAGCTCCACCCTGGGCCTGCAGGAAAATATGAAGACCTCCTGACCCCCAACCCCAGGCCCCTGACCATGCACTGTGAGGCTTAAGGCGGGGGCCCTGATGGGGTCCCAGCCGAGGGAGAGGGGTCTTCCCAGGAGCTCTTCTGCCCTCCCAGCCAAGCAGACACCAGGCTGCCAGCAGCTCAGAGTGGACACTGGGAGAGACCTGCACAATTCTGGGCTCTGGCTCTGCACCTCCCAAGGGAGCCTCACCTGGGCTCAGCCATGTCTGCTCCACGGGGGCTGGGCGGGGCTCCTCACACTACTGTACCGGAGCTGTGTGCTTCTGAGCCCACTTCCATCCCATCGCCTCAGTGTCCTTCCACCTGTGCTCTCTAATCTGGCAGCCACTAGCTACAGGTGACTGCTTACATTTCAATTAATTTAAACAATACAAACTTCAGTTCCTCAAACTAGCCACATTACAACTGCTAAGTAGACACACGTGGCTAGTGGCTGCCATATCGGACCCCACGAAACATTTTCAGTGTTATAGAAAGTTCTGTTGGGCAGCTCTACTTGAGCGCTGTTTTCTTACTTGCCCCAGACTTCCCTGGGGAGCTCATCAACAGTGCAGGCACCTGGGCCCACCCCAGACCTCCGGACCCAGAATCTCCAGGGCTGGCCACATGATCTGCAGGGATAGCAAACTCCACAGGCCATTTTAAGGACCTAAGTTTAAGACCTGTTTCTGACGTGGTACCAGACTTAGCCTGGCCCTGCATGACCTGGCAGGTGTGGACATTGAGCAGGTGTGTGGTGAGGTCACAGGCCACAGGAGTCTCATGCACACCCCCCACCCACCATGTGCACACTTGCCTGCATGCACACCCTCCTCCCATCCACACTGTATGTGAACAGCTTGCATCCTGCAGGCACAACCATTTGAACACACCTCCGCCCCTAAACACAGAAACACGGTCCATGCCACCTCACTTCCATGGGGATTTGCTTCTCCATAAGTGTGTCAGGCAAGGGCAGTCCCTTCTAGCCAAGAATATTCAGCTACCTCTGGTTGAGTGGGAGCCTCAGCCTGATCCTGGGCTCCGTGCCTGTGGCCCAGCCCCAGCTCCCAAGGCCTGCTCAGCTCTGTCTGAACACAAGGTCTGGGAGGGGTGGAGTACAATAAAAGGAATGAGGACAAACCTCTGTCTTCTGCATTTTCTTCCCAGCCCTCTCTGAAACTCAGTGTGCCCATCTGTGAGACTCAGGGCTGAGCTAAGAGTCTTTGAGGTCTTTCTGTTTTTCCCCGTACATAGAGATGAGCTGATGCTTATGTCCTGAGCCCAGCAGTCGGTGCTGTGGGTCAGCTCACCTCTGTCCATGGGCTGCTGTCCTGGCACAGCTCTTAACACTGGAGTTCTTCTCAACTCTCCACACACCCTTCCCACAGCTCTGAGAAGCCTGGCACTGGGACAAACAGAGACCCTCAGCAGTGGCCTCACAAAAACAAGGGTGAGGAAGGGGCTGGCTATCCTAGGAGGGATTGCTGAGCAAATCCCAAAGTGGGGAGGGAGGTCTTGAGTGGAGACAGTGTGGAAGGATTCTCCAGGGGCCCTGTTGCGGGTATGACCTCCAGTCTGGACTGACCAGTGCTGTCCACAAGCCAGGATGGAAATGTGCTCTATCTATGCCACACATTATAGTATTCACTAAACACATGTGGCCACTGAGTTCTTAAAATGTGGCTAGTGCAACCAAGGAACTGTTTTTTATTTTATTCACTTTTAATTAACTTATATCACCACATGTGGCTAGCAGCCACGACACTGGACAGCATAGGCTAGCCCTGACCCTCTCCCTCAGGCCCTTGCCTCTACTCTCCTCCCCAGCCAAGAACCATCCTTTTATAGGACAGGAACTCCTTCTTCCCTCCCATCCTTCTCCAGATCTACCTGCTGCTTTTTCATCTCCTGTCTGTGCCCCCCTGAAGGAGCAGATGATCCCTCTTTTATATTCAAACTTCTACTCAGCTCAGACCCCCCCAGCAGAGGCTGTCTCTCCCTCTCCCACTTATACCTTTCTGCCTCCTCTTGGTCCATGTTCCCCTACAGCTCTGCCTGCTCTCCCTGCACTGCCACCATTCCAGAAAGACCAGTTTATACTGCCCCTGCATCCTACCCTCTGCAGCTGGTTTCCAGCCCCCACCCCCACTTCTCCTAGATGCCCTTGCCAAGGTTACTGGCAGTGTCTATGTTGCCAAATCCACACACACACTTCAGCCCATATCCTGCTTGGCCCATCAGCCTCTGACACTGTTGACCAAGCCCTCCTTTGTTGAAGATTTCCTTCCAGCAGCTCCTAGGACCCACCCTCTCCTGATTTTCCAGCCAGTCTGGTGTGCTGGGAAAAGATAATTTTCAACTGCAGCACTGCCTAAGGTCACTGTGTGTCTTTGGGCAAGTGGCTTAACTCTCCAAGCCTGCTCTTAGTCAGGGAAAATGATAGCCTCTCCTCAGGTTGGGGTAAGATAAGATACGTAAAATGCCTAGCACACAGCCTGGCATACAGGAGTGCTCTGCTCCTCCATCCCTCCTCTCATTCGGTGGTGGAATCAGCTAGTCGTCCCAGGACATCTATTCTCTCTACAGTGATACAACCCTTCGTTCTTGGCTGGCTATATGGCTGCCCAAAACGTAAGCTGCATTTCCCAGCCCCCTCTTGTAGCCAGGTCTGGTCATGTGACTAAGTTTTAGCTAATGGGATTATGTGGAAATGTCATGTGACACCTGGGAACTTTCCTTAAAAGAGAGCTGGTGCAAATCCTTTGGCCTCTTCTTTTTAATCCCTGTCTCCCTCCCACTGCCTGGAATGCATATGCAGTGGCTGGAGCGTGGCTGGAGCTCTAGCCACTACCCTGAACCATGAGGACAAGAGGCATACCCAGATCTTGTTGGAGCAGTGAGTTGAAGGAGCCACATCTGAGAGGTGTTTGTGGAGCACAGCGGGCATGCCAGTCCAGGACTGTCTTCCCTGAGGATCTTATGTGGGAATCTCTGTTACTTAGGTCAATATTGGTCCCACCTAGTTTAGAAATCTTTCCTTCTTAAAAGTGAGTGTCCTGTCCTTGGCCTCTGCTTTATTTGCTCTGAGTTATCTCACCCTTTCCCATGGCTCTGTATTTACAACTTTACAACTGTGGGTCCTTTCTGATACCCTCTAAAACTGGTCCAATCCTCTTTCCTAGACTCTGGCCCCACATATCCAAATCCCTAATTGTCATATCCAATTAGTTATTCATTTGACAAACATCTTTTGAGCATCTACACAATGTGTAAGGCTGTGTGATGGATGAATCAGGCACAGTCCTTGTTCTCAAGGAGCTTCCAGTCCAGAGACTGAAAAGGCAGGTAAACAAATGCTGAGTACAAACCCTTAGAGAGGCTGCTAACCTATGCTGGGAAGACAGGAGGACATAGGAAAGGGTTCCTGGCATTGAACCACGCCCTGAAAGGAGCTTGACAAGCAGGTAGTTAGGACTGAGGTCATGCAGGGCTTCACTGGACCTATTCTCAGGGTACTAGTGAGCCATGGAAGATTCCTAGGCAGAGTGGACTAGTTTGGCTGTGTTCCTGAAAGAGTGCTCTGGCTGCCAAGGGGAGAAAGACTAGTGAGAGGGGTGAGACTGGAGGCGGGAGGCCCATGAGGAGGCTGCTGCTGCAATCCAGGTACAAGCTGATGGTGGCTTAAGCTAAGGAGGGCAGAGAGGTGGGGAGAAGTGGGTTTTCTAGGGATATTTAAGAGGCAGCATGGGCAGGGCTCTAGGATCGGCTGGTTGGGGCAGGAAAGGGGTAGACTAAGGGGACCTCCAGGCTTCTGGCTCCAGATTGAGACAGGGACACAAGAGGTCAGGTTTCAGAGAGTAACATGGGGCTCTGTTTTGGGCAAGAGTGAGGTGAGGCGCTAGAGGATTCACAAGTGAAGAACTTAGCATAATTGAGAGTTGGCGAGCTCACCAGAGGAGAAGTGTGGGGCAGAGTTCCCAGCCACCGTGAAGGTCAGGACGTCCTGTTGAGTCCTCTCCATTTCCTCTGCCCCAGCTAGGCCATTCCTGCCATCTTCACCCAGGGCCTTTCCCCCAGAATGAAACCAGCCGCGACCCCAGCATCCGTCTCTCATACCCCACCCAGCAGAAGGCTAAGCTCCTGACTCTGCCATTCAAGGCCTTTCTCCCTGGCTCTCGGCCCGGGTCTCGTCCCTCGTCGCCGATCTCGCATTGCCCTGCCTATAGTACGCACCTCGCCTCCTCCCCTCCCCCCCGACCCTGGAGGGGTGCGCTTTTGCCCCAGCCAGACAGAGATGGGCGGGAAAAAGACTTCTTTTGGCAAGCACCCGTATCCTCCAGGTTCCGCTAAGGGGTCCGGGCTGCGGCCTGGAGGGGTTCAGCGGACCCCAGACAGCACGCATCCGGGCGTGGGGGTGTGTGACAAGGCCCAGCTCCGCGGCTGGAGAAACGGCCCCTCCGAGGCAGCCCCCAGCCGCGGCCCCTCCAGCGCCGGGCGGGAGTCCGGGCTCTGATTGGGCGACGCTGGGGGAGCCGCGCGGACAGACCAATGAGCGCCTGCCGGGCGCGGCGGCGGGCGGGGAAGAGCGCGCAGCCTGTAGCCGCGGTGCCGGCGGGCTGAGCTCTGCGATCCCGGCCGGGGCGAGGCTGGCGGGCGGGTCGCGCGCCGCGGGAGCGAGCCTGAGTCTGGCCGCCCGCGGGGCTGCGGAGACAGTCGCCGGGCACTGAGGTAGGAGTCGGCAGGAGGGAACCTGGGTCGAGGAGGGGTAGGTGGGACGAACGCCTGGACGTCTTCTCGGAGCCTGCGGGGGAGAGGAATGGTCTGCGAGGCCGTGTCTGTGAGGGCAGCCGGGACCTTGTGTGGGGATCCTCCCGCTTCTGTCTGTGGGGTCGGGTCCTCGGAGTGTCTCCTGAGCCTGCTTCTGACTGCGCCAGCAGCCGGGACCTCATCTGTGCGGGCACCCGGCCATCTGCTTTTCCCCAGCTCTAGTCTGCGGGACTGCGTCCATACCCGGCGCACTACCCACCCCCGACCCAGCCCCTGGTGGGAGGCCGTGTCAATGCGGAGTGGGCCCAGACGGGTGCACCCACGTGTGGACCTGCGCGGAGAGCTCCTCCCACACGGCCCTCCTCTGAGTCTTCCTTCAAGAGCTGGGGTGGGGGACAATGAATGGGACACATGCCGCGCGTGGTTTTAGCTGCGTAGCCCTCCCCAGGCTGGGGCGGGGGTGGAAGGGGGCGGTGAGGCGGGCGCTGCGGTTTCTGGGGCGAGATAGGCACCGAACTGGTGGCTCAGGGTGCACACGTGTACGGGGACCTGTGTGTGGTGTTTGGAGGCGGGTGTGCGTGTGTCACGTGGATACGGGAGTGTGCCTGTGTGTGAGGGGGGTGCATTACAGGATGGAGTGGTGTGTGAGGGCAGGTCACGCGGACATCGGCGTGCGCCTGTCGGGAGGGGTGTGTGTGTGTGTGTGTGTGTGTGTGTGTGTGTGTGTGTGTGTGTGTGTGTGTGTGTGTGTGTGTGTGTTACAGGGGTGTGTAGAGAAGGTTCTGCCCCAGGTGGCAAGACTGTGCCTCTCTGGGTGCATATGGGGCTATATGTTAGCCAAGTGGGCCGGGGAGTAGGGAGGAGCTCAAAGCTTGTGTCCTTGAGGGTGCACTGTCCCCCCTCCCCAACCCTTGGGACTTCACTAAGCACATACAGACCGAGCCCCCACTGTGTGTCTTGCACCCACAGATTCTCCCTTGTCCTTGGTCTCTCACTGCCAGTCCCCACAGCAGACAGAGATATGGGTTTAAACCTCATCCATCCAAGTCACTCCTCTGCTCAAACCCTCCTCTGGCTTTTGAGGCATCCTAATCTCTGTCCACAAAACCCCCCAATGCCAAGCCCTGAGTCCCAGCCAGGAAATGGCTCTTTGTCATCCACAGTTTGAACTTCCATCGTCTCTCCCCTGAAATCCATTCTTGGTGGTAGTGAAAAAGCTTAAATGCCATCTTCTTCAGGAAGCTGCCGCTCAGGTCAGAGACAATGAATAACTGGGCCTTCTCATCCAGGTGTAACTCTTCTCGCCACTGGGTACCTCACACACGAACTCCCTACTGCAGCCACAGCCGTCTCCTTCCTCTTCCTCAGACAACGCTTGCTCACAGCCTTTGCAATTGCTGGTTCCTCTGCCCGAGATGCCCTTCCCAGATGTCCACACTGCATGCTCACTCACTTCCTTCACATTGTGCTCAAATCCTGCATCAGAAAGGCCTTTCCTTGACCTCACTGTATAAAGTGTCCCCTGTCCCCTCATTCTCAATCCCCCCTTACACAATTGTAGTTTTCTCCACAGCACGTACCCCGTGACATATCATCTATCAATTACTGACTGGTTTCCTTGTTTGTTCTTGCCCCCACTAGAAATTAAACTGCATGAAAGCAGAAGCTTTGTCTTTTTGGCTCCCTGCTTTATCTCCCAGCATCTAGCACAGTGCCTGGGCACACAGAGCAGGTGCTCAATAAAGATTTGTTGCATGAATGAGTAACTGGATTTGCATTCTAGGAGACTCCAGTCTGAGGTGAGTTCTGCTCTTCTATCCTCTGGATTTCCTGGAAGGCCAGATCTGGGAGCACTGTGACCGTATTTGCCTGTTAGAAATATTCCCTCTATCAAGTGGTATGGCGGCTGGCACAGGGTGGGGGTGGGATGGGGGCCTGGAGGTGGGGAGACTGGTAGAAGTAGTGGGCAAGAGAAGCGGAGGTCTGAATCAGGACTTTTTAAGGGGTTCAGCTTGGTGACTTCACCGCAGTAGGGAGATCGGGGGGCTCCCAGAGGAGGAGATGGCAAAGCTGTCCTCTGGCAGTAGAGAAGGAGGTGTGTTCTTGGTGGAAGGCACAGCTTGTACAAAGGCCTGGCAGCAGAACTGAGTCTGCAACTTGGGAAGCCACAAACACCATGATGTGGCCAGAATGGAGAGTGAGTGTGGGGTGGGGGCACAAGGACAGGCAAAAGGCAGAAGCTGGTTATTAAAGAGGCTCTGGGGTTTCTGGCCTGGGAGCATTGGGAGGGTGGTGATGCCCCTCTGTAATGGGGACAGAGGAGGAAGACCAGACTTGGGGGAAAGGCTGAGTTTAATTGGGGCCCTGTTGGGTCTGAGCTGCCCACAAACATGGAAGGGAGGAGGCAGCTGGCAGGAATGAGTTGGGCTAGAGGCACAGACTTGGTGTGGAGGACGAGGAGCAGCAGAGACGGAGGGTGAGGCCGGGAGACCCATCAGCCAAGCTGAGGATGAGCTGAGGGTTGCCGGGCTGGATCAGCCACAGAGCCTGCCTCAGTGCTTGGGGCCTCCCTGGGGATGATGGGAGGGGGGTGTCCTCACAGCATGCATCCTCAAGCATGACTTGGCACTAGACGCCTGGGCCTCCCTTGAGGGGACTGAGTCATCCCAGGCGGGGGCGGGAGCCTCGGAGGGCACCCGTTGCCAGGGCTGTCCAGGCACTTATCAGAAGCATAAACACGGCTCCTGGGAGACAGCCCTAAGATGCCAGGGCACCCTTCTGTGTCTGGCCCATGGGGCTAGACCACCTCCTTGCAGCTTTTTCCTTCTGGCCAGCCATCTGCTGGTCAGGGCCGTGTCCTCTCTGCCTCGATGGTCACTGGCCTCTGGCCCCTGGCCTACTGACCCTGAGTTCACAGCAGCCCTCTAGAACTTGGCGTAAGGTCTGTCTGGTGGCTGAAGTCATCCGAGGTGGGGCAGCTTGAAGCAGCTTGGATGAGAGCAGGACCTGCCAGTCCTATCCTGCTCTGAGCCTCCTCTGAGAGGGGCCCAGGTGGATGGGGCACATCCTGGGGAGGCCAGGCCAAGATGATATCTGCATCCTTGAGAGTAGCCAGATACCTGGGGTGGGGAGCCTAGCATGAGTGGAGTAATGTGCCAGGCCATCCTGGAGCCAGGGGGCAGAGATGGGGTTGTACTTTGTACCTCAAGGCTCTCTGGTGGCTTCTAGACACAGACACATCCTAGCCCTACATCACCAGGCACAAACTGCTTCTGTGTCCACAGTTTCATCATTTCCTTCCATAGAGATGGAAGCTGGCAGGATGGTGGCCATCTGTCCAGTTCACATATGAGGAAACCGAGGCTCCAAGAGACTTAATGAATTGTTGAAGGCAACCCAGCCCCAATCTGGAGGACAGCGTTGAGGGAGCTTTTCCCAGTAAGAGGGCCTGAGTCTGGCCATTCTTCGTTACAGGGCTAAGCTGGTCGCTGGGAGCCTCACTATGCCGAGCATAGGAGTCCTTGCCCTACCTTGAGCCTGGGTCTCAGCCTATTTTGTTCTATTTGCCCACGTGGCCCCTAGTTATCTGCTGAGTCAGTTTCGGCAGTGTTTCCCCAGGCCTCCGCTTGGGGAGGACCTTGAGAGAACCCTTGGATGAGCCCCCAGAGAGGGGTGGGGCTTGCCAAGGACACAGCCCAGCCCAGCTCAGCAGGCAGCCCTAGGCTGGTGGAAGTCCAAACTTGAGCTTCTGGGATCAGGTTCCCATGGCCCCCAAGAGTTCCCCACCCCCATTCTGGAGCTCAATTCCACAAAGACCTTAATGGACATGAACACATTTATCCACACGCATAGGCCACCTGGATAGATTTCTGTCTCCATGCAGATGCGCTCCTCTGTGCAGATTCCCTTGCTCCAGAGACACGCTGTCACCCAGGCCCCCAAGCCCTACAACACATTCTTTCCCACGTGGACACAAGCTCTCTTACACACAGCCTGGGGCGCCAGGTCTGGACACATTCAGGAACCTGGGACCTCCCCTGCGCCTCCGCGCAGACATGCTTAGTCACCTGAATTTGATCCAGGCCGGGAGGGAGGGTGGGGAGGGTGGAGGGCATGACGTCAGCCCTCACAGCCGCCTCCTGCCGCCTGCGCATCCATCTGGGCTACAGCATGTCCCAGGCAGTCACAACTGCAGCCAGCACAACCCACTTTTACAGGGCTTCCCTGGTGGCAGGCCCACTCTGAGCCCAGCGTGGGCAGTCGTTCACTCCTTTCTCCTCACTGACACCCAGGGAGGTGAGACTGCTGTTCACCTCATTCTGCAGATAAGGAAAACCGAGGCCCAAAGGCGAAGTCACCTACCTGCAGGCTCACATCCAGTAGAGGATGGAGCCTGGCAGCCTGGCTTCTGAGCCTGGGCCCTAAACCAGGTATTGGGGCCCCAGGTTGGATCAGGAAGACCTCTGACCCGACTTGCTGTGTGACCCTGGGATCATCCCTGCCACTTGCTGGGCCATGCTTTTCCCAGCTGAGAAGAAGGGGGAAGTGAGTTAAAGGAGGACGGCCTCTTGCTGAGCTAGCAGCCTTAGGGAAATTATATGCGAATTTTATGAGTGGGGCAGCCCTTGGGTTCCTTGCAACTCATTCCTGCTGTGGGCTTGTTGGGGTTCCCTCTCTGAGGCTACGTTCCCATCTGTCTAATGGGGACAGGGCTGTAATGATCACTATGGCAACCACTCATTCATTCATCAAATATTTATGGAACTCCTACTATGTGCCAGGCACTGCTGCAGACACCAGTGGTCTTATGGAGACAAGGCAGAGAAGAACCCTAATCTATGGAGTTTATTCTGGTGGGAGGAAAAGGACCTATAAGGGGAGGGGGAAGGGCAGTAGAGGGGTCACCTTTGGGGAGGAGTGGGATGGGCAGGCCAGGCTTGGAGGGCTCCCTTCCGCCTTGGCTTCATCTGTCCTGCAAGTGGCCTCATTCTCAAAGCCTCCCTGATGCTCCAGTCCTATTCATCTCCCCCACCTCCTCCAGGGAGCCTTCCCTGATGTTCCAGTCCCATTCACTTCCCCCTCTCATCTCCAGGAAGGCCACCCTGATACTCCAGCCTGACTCACCTTCCTCACCTCCTTCAGAATGGACTCCCTGATGTGCCAGCCCTACTTGCCTTCCACACCCCCTCTAGGGAGGCCACCCTGGTGCTCTAGCCTTACCACCCACTCCCTTACTCCTGTAGGGCCAGTCCTATGTCCTTTCCTGTCGCCAGTCTGGATTTCCTTCCCCCTTTCTTTCAACATCAGCTCCACCACCTCCAGGCTTCCCCTCATTCACACATTATGTGCCAGGCACAGGGGCTTGGACCATGCCCATATCCATAATTCACCTCCAAGCCTTGCTGTGGCCCTAGAGAATCTGGGAAGGTCATTTATCCATAGCACAGAAGCTCAGAGTTAGGAAGGCCTGCCCAGGGCCCCTCAGGTTGGCAGGCAGGACTGGAACCCAGCCCAGGCTCTTCTGTGGCCAGTGGACTCCACTGAGCGTTACCTCTTAAACATCTGTCAAAGCAAGGTGATGGGGCACAAGGAGTGTCCTGGGTTCTTAAAGTTGTTTTGTTAGGACAGAAGAAGTTACCGCCTGACAGGAAGAGCAGACAGGAGTCCACTCACTTCCTTCTGAGAAGATGCTGAGTCTGGGCCAGGAAGGGGGAGGGGCATCAGCTGGGGAAGGGCCAAGCTCAGCCTGGGGTCAGCCCCGCGTTTGGTCTGAGGGGAAGGCGGGGCTGGAGGTTGGAGGCTGGTTTGGGGTTCGAGCTGGGCCTGGTTTGGGGCTCGGAATGCAGTAAGTCCGGGGTGAGTGAAAGGCCAGGCCACAGGGAGCATCTCCGCCTGAGCAGCTATGCCCAACGTTCTGGCCACACAAATAAACTGAAAGGAAAAACCAAGAGAAATAAGAAAGGAACTTTCAGTTCAGTGAGTCTTTTGGCAGCCGCCAAAGCAGCAGCCTCTCCCCTGTTGGGTCCTGCCCTGGGCTCCCCGGTGCTCTAGCCTTACCACCTACTCCCTCACTCCTCTAGGACCCATCCCATGTCTCTTCCTGTCACCAGTCTGGATTTTCTTCCTCTTTCCTTTCAACATCAGCTCCGCCACCTCCAGGCTTCCCCACATTCAACACACTATGTGCAAGTTCATAAGAAAGGTCATAAGAAATTCAAATGGAAATTCAGGATACTATGTTCATGGACCCGGCTGGGGCAGGGAAGGAAGTAATGAAAGACTTGCCCTGTGGCTCTGGAGAGGCCTTTCTGGAGGAGGTGAGAGTGGGTGAGAGAGGCTGGAGCCCCAGGGAAGTCTTCCTGACAGAAGTGAGAGGGTTGGGTGTAGGGGGCTGGAATATCAGGGAGGCCTCCCTGGAGGAGGTGAGTGGGCCTAGAGTATCAGGGAGGCCTCTGCATTACAAGTGCCAGCTCAGCTTCCAGGCAACAGTGTTGGAATGCTCTGTTGTCAAGGGTTGGGCTGGTGAGTCACCAGACTGTCTCCTGGATGGGGGCCTGAACTGACTGACCCTAGACTGTTTGTCCCAGGCCTGCTGGGCCTCCAGTCTTCTGCCCATGTCTATTTGTCCTGATACTGAACATCAGATTTGCCCTCCTCTGTGAATCCAGCAAGGCATTGTTGTGATGGTGTCTGTTTGACAGATGGGGATACTGAGGTCTGTGGGACTGGTGTGCAGCAAAGCCAGATGAGTCCCTGGAATTTGTTCAGTTAGTGGGGACAGACCTGAGTTTAGATGCTGGCAACCCAGGCAGAGGGAACTGACAGGACAAAGGCATAGAAGTGGGACCAGCAGGCTCGTGGCTGCAATAGCAGAGGGACCTGGAAATCTGACCTCCTTGCTTTGTGGCCTGGACTGAAGCCTTCTCTGCCCTCTTTTCTCAGGTTCCTAAGAAGGCTGCAGAGAGGACCCACTTGACTGCGGTGATGGAGCGGGGCCCAGCGGTTTGCTGCCAGGACCCCCGCACAGAGTTGGTGGAGCGAGTGGCAGCCATTGATGTGGCCCACTTGGAGGAGGCTGATGGTGGCCCAGAGCCTTCCAGGAATGGTGTGGACCCTCTGCCACGGGCCAGAGCTGCCTCCGTGATCCCTGGTGGGGTTTCAGGACCCACCCTAGTGCGGCCCAGCCTCTCAGCTAGGAAGTTCTCCTTGCAGGAGCGGCCAGCAGGAAGCTGCCTGGAGGCCCAGGCTGGGCCTTATGCCACAGGGCCTGCCAGCCACATCTCCCCACGGGCTTGGCGGAGGCCCACCATCGAGTCCCACCGCGTGGCTATCTCTGACGCAGAGGTTGGTGGGGCACAGCTAGGGGGTGCTCATGAGCTTTGCAGTGTCCTCAGTGAAGCCCCTTTCCTGCTCCTGTCCCTGCCACCCCACTGGCTAGTCTTTGCTTTGCACACCCCCAGAGCTGAGGAGCTTGCTACCTACAACGTGGCCTCTTCCCACACAGGTAGCACCATTTGAGCCAATCCCTGCCTCCTAAGTCCTCCTCATTCCCTCCTCCAGTCCAGGCCTCAGAAGTAGGCCACTGCCTTGTCCCCCAAGAAGTCATTCTAGAGGTTTGAAGATAGATGTATGTCCTCTACCCCCTACGTCTTCCTCAGCCTGAGCCCCCGGTCTCTAATCCTGCCTCTAGTCTCCTCTGACACAGAAGTTGCTGGCATGCTTCCAGCCTCTGGCTCTGTTCTTGCCACTTAGACCTGAAAGTGAACCTAGTACAAGTGGTTTACAGATCTCATAGGCTGAGTTTAGTATGCCTGAGCCAGGGCTCTGGCTCTTCTCCCCAAGGCTCTCTTCATCTTTCTTGTCCACACAATCTAGGCCTCGCATTCAGCTGCTTCTAGAAATCCTTGCTCATGGGTTTCTCTCAGATTTGGGCCTCCCAGACTCCAGCACCCAGGCAGGAATTAATTCATTTTTCCTTCACCACTTCCTAGGAAGCAAAGCATAGCCATGACTCACCATTTGTGCTTTCAAACATTATCCAAGGTCTCTTGTCTCTGTTAGTGGCATTGGCACCACTGAGCTTCCGTGTGCACACTTGAAAGTTTGATAAGACCTGGGGTCTGGGACTAAGGAACCTGGGGCCAAGATGGGGCCCTGAACAGACTCTTGGGGTGGGATTCATGCTGCCTCTGGATCAAGCTTTACCTGATGCTCCCTCTTTACCCCCAGGACTGTGTGCAGCTGAACCAGTACAAGCTGCAGAGTGAGATTGGCAAGGTAGGACTGGGCAGGCAAGAGCAGTGGAGCCTTCTCTCTTGGGGCTTTGTGGAGATAGCCTCTGCTTGGCATGGTCCCTTCTCCTCTGGGGATGTGGAACACAGCCTGGAAGTGAGGGTATTGTCCTTGGAAATATCTAGCATGGGGTGGGAGATAACTCCCCTTTCCTAACTCCTCAGTTTTTGGTGGAAGACAGAGACTGGGGGAGCATGGAGCTGCATTGAACCAGGTGGGGCCTTTACCAGGGCACAGGAGTCCCCTCCCTGTCTATGTGAAATTTGTGCCCACTGGTGGCCAGCTGGTAGGGACTAGTGCTGGAGCTGTGCAGGCTCCTCATTTCCTGAGCTAGTCCTGGGGGAGGTTGCCTTGTCCAGGCACGGCTGACCAGTGCCTACCTGCAGGGTGCCTACGGCGTGGTGAGGCTGGCCTACAATGAAAGTGAAGACCGGCACTATGTGAGTCTGGGGATAGGAGGTGTTGCCCAACTAGGGTAGAACCCTGAGGGTGGGCAGTAGCTGTGCTGGGAAGACAGAGGACAAGGCTGCTTCTGAATGGATGGGGCTCCCTCCCCCAGGGGCATACAAAGGGAGTGAGTCTTTTGACCCTAGGAATATGCAAGCTGAGGCTGGACACCTCTGAGGGGAGAGGTCCAGAACGGCTTGTGGGGGGAATAGGGGTAAAGCCGAGGCTCAGATAATGGCCACCTCCTAACCCAGCTTAAGCACAGCCAGGCTGTACCCTCAGTGTTGGTAGCAGATGCCCAGTGTGCCTTTCTAGACCTCAATCCACATGTAACCAGCTTGTTCTGGCTCCTGGGGACTACACACAGGTGACATTTCCATCCCTCCTTCCTCAGGCAATGAAAGTTCTTTCCAAAAAGAAGTTACTAAAGCAATACGGCTTTCCACGTATGTATCTATTGGGTCCTGTGCTTGGGAGTCCTGGTCTGGGGACAGAAGAGGCTGACACCTGGGTTCCTAGCTTGATTTATTAGAACTAGGGGTAGAGGTGGGGACAGCACAAGCAAAAGCCCAGTTGGGTTGGCAGGTTGGGGTCAAGACCATGGCCTTACAGGATTCTTGCTTGAGGCTGCTTGCAGGGTCATGGTGAGGCCCAGCCTCCTGCAGCTTGACTCCCCTGCCTGGTCACAGGTCGCCCTCCCCCAAGAGGGCCCCAGGCTACCCAGGGAGGACCAGCCAAGCAGCTGCTGCCCCTGGAGCGGGTGTACCAGGAGATCGCCATCCTGAAGAAGCTGGACCATGTGAATGTGGTCAAGCTGATTGAGGTAGGAGGCAGGGGTGAGTGGGTGGGAACCCGGGCCCGAGGCCTGTGGAGCATCCTCCAGTGCTGGGGGCACTTAGCACAGACCCAGGATCCCACCGAGGGAACAATGTGCCTGTGGCCTCCAAGGGCAGAACCAGACGTGGGGTGGAGGCTGCAGGCAGGCTTCAGGGGTCTGTCCAGGCTGGTCTGGGATGTTCCCAGGGTCTCACTGAGGGTAATGGGCTACCCCATAGGCAGGAAGTGAACCCCCAGTCTTGGCAGGAGAGGAGAAGGGTTGGATGTCACTTGGTGTGCCAGGGTTGGGGGTCAGTGATTTCTGAGGTCTCACCTGTCTGGTGCTTACACAGGTCCTGCTCCATTGTCTGGGGTGACTACATAGCACATGGGGGTCTTGGGGATGACAAGGATGAGGAGACCTAAGACCCCCACCCCATGCCTCCTCAAGCCCTACTCTTATATCTGCTTTCTCTGACCAGGTCCTGGATGACCCAGCTGAGGACAATCTCTATTTGGGTGAGTGACCTAGCTCATCGTCCAAGGCTCCCTGAGGGCTCGTGGCCTCCAGATGGGCCTTGTGAATGCACTGACTTCCTGGGCCAAGGGGGAAAAGCCCTGGATTCCCTTGCCCAGCCCTGCCGATCCAGGCTCAGAATATCCAGTTAGATTCAACAAGTATTCCCAGGTCCCCACTCCACTGATTGGAGAGACAATGGATCAGGAAGATGAAGGAAGCAGGCTATGTGATGTGAGTTCCCAGACCCAGTCTGATAGCTCTGTGCCTCAGTTTCCCCACCTGTAAAATGGGGGATAATCATGGTATCTACCCCATAGGGTTGATGTGAGGAGTAAATGAGTTATTAAGTGCAAGACATGTTTAGCTATTGTTGTTACTAATATTAATGTGGTTATTATTTAAGTTTGTGGTACCTGATTTATGGCTAGGTCTAGAGGCCATTAGGAAATGGGGCAGAAAGAACACTGGCTGAGGAATTAGAGTCCAAGGCTTTAGTCTCCACTCCCTTTCCTACCTGCTTATCTGCTATGACCTTTAGGAAAATTTCTGCCCCTTCTCTGACCCTCAGTTATTAACCTCCTATCCCCATAAAAGGGGTTCATGCTGAATCAGATGAGACAGGTCCACGGGTAGACACCACTCTCACCCATTTACCTCCTCTGGTACCCTGGGACCCTTGTCCCTCCCTCAAGTATGCCTGGATGCCTGCCCCCTCTCCCACCCTTCAGAATGGGGAGAGATCTGCTTTGACAGTCTGGCTACACCTTACCTACTTTTCTTTTCTTTTCTTTCAGTGTTTGACCTCCTGAGAAAGGGGTGAGTTCCCCATCCCAATCAGGCAGGTCAAGTCTAATCCAGGCCTTCCTTTCCCTCCCCATGTCCCCAGGACTAGGTCAGCTACTCTAGGAGAAAGCAGAGGCCCAGGCCCCACCTTTGGGGAGAAATGAGGGACCAAAAGGGTGATTTTTTGAAGGCTAGTGAGGCCTCTGGAAAAGGTGGGTTTTGAGTCAGGCCTTGAAGAACTAGAAAGGAAATATTGATGGAGGAGGGGGAGAAAAAAGGTGTTTCTCAAACAATAAGTGGAGAGGTAGGACTCTTCCCTGTATTCAAATCACAAAGAGTTCTTTCAGCTTTACAAGTTTGTGAGGTGGGTAGGTGGGACTCCCTATGCTCCCATTTACAAGAGGGGAAGCTGAGGTTCAGAGGGGTAAGTGGCTTGTTCAAGGTCACACAGCAAGTCACTGATAAAACCTAGGGCTCTAACTCATGTCTGCCTTATTTAGCCTTCTCAGGGTATTTGCAAAGCAGCAGACATTGAGTAGTGAGCATGGGCCTGGTGGACAGGAGGCCTTGAGTACAGGCTGTGGCTTGTCTCTGTGTGGTTGGAGGGGGGATTTCCTAAACAACTGTCTGAGGAGTGTTTAGGAAGACTCAGGGGCTTTCAAACATTTTTGACCTCCATCCAAAGTAAAAAATATAAATTTTACCTTGCTGTCCATATCTGTAACTGAAACCAAGATTTTACAAAACAGTACATATCCTTACTACATATGATACACTCTGATATATTCTACTTCATCAGGAAAACAAGGTAGTAGCCACCCACTAAATTGATGTCATAACCCTCCATTGAGTCTGGTCCTACGGTTTGAAAAACACAGCTCTACATGGCATCTTTGCAACAGTTTGATTATAGATAATAAGGTACTTAGAAGGAATGCTATGCCAATCAGAAATTAAGATAATTTGAAATTATAATGATTGTAAAGGGATATTTGTGTCCATGTGTGTTTTTAAAATGTCATTATGGGAGAAAAAGCTAATTCGTTGGGTTCTGGGGACCTGTTTGAGCATAGAGGGCACCCGGGAGGTCCAGAGGGACCTAGTGGCCCAGTCCCTGTCCCCCTTCACCTGTCTGCTTTACTCATCCTGATTTGGCTGAATGCTCCAACCCCCTTCCACCCCTTAGGCCGGTAATGGAAGTGCCCTGCGACAAGCCCTTTTCGGAGGAGCAAGCTCGCCTCTACCTGAGGGACATCATTCTGGGCCTTGAGTACTGTGAGTGAGGGGATGCTTCCCGAGAAGGGACTGGAGGAGCCTGGGGAGAGGACACAGAGGCGGGGGCGGAGCCCAGGCTGAGCAGGCCCTGAGCAGGTTCTGTCAGTCAGCGCTGACCTGCCAATCAGCTTCAGATGTGGGGCGGGCTTGGGCCTGTGGGTGGGCTCAACACCTGCTGAACGGGAAGGGGAGGCGGTCTGGCCTGAGCCTGCTGCTCTGGGGTATGCGGGCACTACCACGTTGGTCTCTGCCTTCCGTGTTCAGTCTCTCTCCTCTGCTGAGTTCTTAGCCAAGCTTAGCCTCTCCACAGGGCCTCAAGAGATGTGGGAAGGTAGAGATTTATGTCCAGCTTCTTGAGCGCCTGCCCTGTCATGCAGTCTGTCGGTGGGGACAGGGCGGGTTTACTGTGAGGGGCCATAAGGTGATGAGAGCTTAGGGAGAAGGAGTTAGCCTCTATCTCTGGAATTCGTTTATTCACTCATTTAGTCATTTCACTCATTTATGAGTACCTACTAAGTGCTGGCCAGGGGCAGAGAGGTGACAAAAGACCCAGATGAGACCTCAAGGATCTCACAGCCTAGTAGGAGGGACAGGAACCTAAGCAGGCAGATAATACAGTACAGTGCCTGCCAAGGCTGGGGAGGCATGGGGGTGTCAGAGTGTCAAGGGGCTGGAGAGGTTTCCTGGAGGAGGCAGCCACTTGTGACTGGGGTCCTGAAGGATGAGTAGGAGTTTGTTGGCCAGGCTTGAGGGATGGATGAGAGAGAGTACGCTAGGCAGAGAGGACTGCATGGCACAGGCACAGAAGCCCAGGCTGAGCAGGCCCTGAGCAGGTTCTGTCAGTCAGCGCTGACCTGCCAATCAGCTTCAGATGTGGGGCGGGCTTGGGCCTGTGGGTGGGCTCAACACCTGCTGAACGGGAAGGGGAGGCGGTCTGGCCTGAGCCTGCTGCTCTGGGGTATGCGGGCACTACCACGTTGGTCTCTGCCTTCCGTGTTCAGTCTCTCTCCTCTGCTGAGTTCTTAGCCAAGCTTAGCCTCTCCACAGGGCCTCAAGAGATGTGGGAAGGTAGAGATTTATGTCCAGCTTCTTGAGCGCCTGCCCTGTCATGCAGTCTGTCGGTGGGGACAGGGCGGGTTTACTGTGAGGGGCCATAAGGTGATGAGAGCTTAGGGAGAAGGAGTTAGCCTCTATCTCTGGAATTCGTTTATTCACTCATTTAGTCATTTCACTCATTTATGAGTACCTACTAAGTGCTGGCCAGGGGCAGAGAGGTGACAAAAGACCCAGATGAGACCTCAAGGATCTCACAGCCTAGTAGGAGGGACAGGAACCTAAGCAGGCAGATAATACAGTACAGTGCCTGCCAAGGCTGGGGAGGCATGGGGGTGTCAGAGTGTCAAGGGGCTGGAGAGGTTTCCTGGAGGAGGCAGCCACTTGTGACTGGGGTCCTGAAGGATGAGTAGGAGTTTGTTGGCCAGGCTTGAGGGATGGATGAGAGAGAGTACGCTAGGCAGAGAGGACTGCATGGCACAGGCACAGAGGGGAGTGGGTATACACATCCCTGGCCAGATGAGAGCAGGTGGGGGGTTCTGGGCAGCGGTCCCCCAGGCCAGTGCTCAAGCTGCCTCTTTCTGTAGTGCACTTCAACCAGATTGAGAAGTTCAGTCTAGTTGAAGCTTGGGGGTGGGAGATGTGAAAAATAGCTCTTGAAATACTGTTTGGGCCTCACCATGAAGGCTGGGAATGCCTCTACTTAGGACTGCCATGATTTCATCCTGTCAGCATTGTGTATACCTCTGAGGGCTGTGAGCCAGGGAGGGACTTGGTAGGCTTTGCGTCTTAGAAAGCTCTGTCTGGCAGCTGTGTAGTGGCTGGATAAAGGGTGAGAGGTGGCCAGCTGGTTAGGGAGGAGGCTGTTTCTATAGCCCAAGTGACAGATGGTGAGGCCTGGATTAGGGCAGGGACAGAAGGGAGGAGACATGAGGGAAGTAGGATGGCCAGACCAGGTGACTGATTAGTCACGTGGAGGAGGGGGACCCCAGACACTGAAGGTTCTGACCTGGTTTGGAAAGCAGGGGTGGTGCCCATCTCTGTAAAATCTTAGCTTGGTTTTTCAGGAGTATATGCTTTCCCTGGGGGAACTGGGTGAGGACCCAGCTGTAAGACAGAAGCCAGGACTGTCTATGTCATTGGAGCCACTCCAGTGCCCTCAGATTAATATTCCCTTTGTACCTGTGGGAAAGAGAGAGGGGACTTTGTAGGAAGCCCCTAGCCAGGGTTTAGAGGTATAGGAAGGGACCATTTCACCCTAGGTATGGCTAGTGGCAGGCACAGCTCTGTGCCACCTTGGCCTCCACCCCCTTCCTGTCTTGGGCCTGTTGTCTCTCATCTTTTGCAATCCCCCAAAATAAGCTAATCGCATCTGGCTCCTGGGTCAAGACCTGCTGATCATGGTGAAGGGCTCCCCAGAGTGGACTGGTCAGCCCTAGGGGCTGGACAGGCAGAGGATTCTGATCCCAAGAAAGGAGAGTTGAGGCTTCTGGTGATAGCTCTGTGGTCGGGGAGCCCAGGCAGATCCTTGCAGGCGGGACAGGTGCAGCAGTACAGGTATGAAGCAGTCGGATCTGGAGTCTGTCTTAGAGGCTGAGCCCAGAGGACTGGCTGATAAATTATATGTGGAGTCTGAGAGAGAGAGGAGTTGGGGATAATCCCCTGGTTTTTGGGCTGAACAACTGGTAAGATGCCATTAACCAGGTGGGGAAGACTAGAGGAGCAGCAGGGATACTGTGTTTTATTTGTTTAGGGTGGGGCCGGATTTTTGGGGGGAGAATTGCAGATAGAGGAATCAAGTTCTGAATTAGACGTGTTGTTGAGAAATACTGAGATATGTTTTGAGATGTCTACTGGATATCCACATGGATAAAGAGCCTGGAGTTTGGGGGAGAGGCCAGGGTTTAAGATAAGAGTTTGAAACCACTTTCCATGGTCTGTACACAGCCCTGAGCCTCTGCAGCCTGATGGGTGTGTGTCAAATCCCTGTGTGTGCCTAGCACATGGCAGCCAGTCACTATAGAAGCCCATAAGCGGATGTCTGGGGCGGGTCGTGCCTTCTCTTAGCCGGGACATCTCCAGCCTTCTCAGGCTGAGCAGCCTGTTTCTTCCCGGCAGTGTCAGACCTGAAGCCGGGTGAGCTCCCAGACTACTAGAGAAGGCCCACCCTTACTCCAGGCATGTTCAGCCCAGCCATTCTGAGGCCTGGGATGCCCTCCCTCTCTGAAATCCTTCAGCCAAGCATCCGTAGGGTAGAGGCAGTATCTCTGCAGGAAACTCCACGATCCCATCCTAAGTCCAAGGAGCAGGAACATCTTTGACCAGATTTGGGGTGGGCATGGAGGGACTGTGGAAAGACTTTGATGGGCTTTGGATCTGCAGACAGCACTCACATGGGAGAACCCCCTCCCCCAATTTCCTCTGCCCTCCCTACTCAGCAGCGGGTGCCTTGATTGCCATGCAGAGAGCACTGACTCAGAGTCCAGAGACTCGTGAGAGCCCAGTCCTGGCTCGGCTGCTAACAGCCAGGGCTGGCCCCGGGCTCTTCGCTGCAGTGGGGCAGAGGGCACTGCAGTCCTCTCCCAAGGTCCTCGTGAGATGAGTGTGGCCGTGGGCTGGGGTGTCCCAGCTCCTTCTCACCTGGAGCTAGAGATGGACCTCCCTGGCCAGATGAGGGCGGGTGGGGGGTTCTGGGAAGTGGCCCCCCAGGCCGGCACTCAAGCTGCCTCTTTCTGCAGTACACTTCCAGAAGATCATCCACAGGGACATCAAGCCATCCAACCTGCTCCTGGGGGATGACGGGCATGTGAAGATTGCCGACTTTGGCGTCAGCAACCAGTTTGAGGGGAATGATGCTCGGCTGTCCAGCACAGCAGGGACCCCAGCGTTCATGGCCCCGGAGGCCATTTCTGATTCCGGCCAGAGTTTCAGCGGGAAGGTGGCTTCCAGAGCCTGGGCCGGGTGGGGTTTAGGTGGAGGGGTGGGCTAGCTTGCTGCAGGGCCTTGTTCCCAGCCTGCAGGTGCCAGGGCCCTTGGGTCTCGGGAGTGAGCACTGAACATGGTCTGCTCCTTCATGTTTGCCTCTTCCTAGAGTCCAACAACCCACCCAACTTTGGCCTCATCTCATTTTCCAGCAAAATGACCCCTGGCTATTTCCTGCCAGTTGCTCTGTGCTGAGATCTGGGCTGGGCTGTGAAACAGTTAGAGGTGCCCTTCTGGAGATGGTGAAGAGGGCAGGAGAGCTCATGTTTGAGGGAGTTGGAGGCTCCCCTCAGACTTCTGGGATGTGGCAGGGTTTGAATTAGGCCTTGAAGAATAGAGAGGATCTGAGCAGGAGGTGGAGCCAGAGAACTGAGGGGCCCAGGGTGGGGGGCACGGTGGGGCTGGGCAGAGGTCAGAAGGCCTGGGAGTTCAGGCTTTCTCCTAAATGGCAGAGGCAGTGCACAGAGCTTTCTGAGCGGGGCTGCAATTCGGTGCGTTTGGCCATTCCACGGTGGCCCTGCCATGGAGGCAATGGTGGAGAGGCATTTGGACACGAGTGTGGGGGTGGAGCTCAAGAGATAGGTCAGCGAAGTAGATGGGGATTTTTTATTTTTCACTTTTAATTTTGATGTAATTCCAGATTTACAGAAAAAAATTGCAAGAATAATACAAAAAAACTCCCATGTATCCTTTTACCCAGATTCACCAATTAGCAGCATTTTCTCCCATGTGCCTCTTCACCATCTCTTTATTTATTTATATGTATGCATGTTCCATGTTTCTGAACTATTTGAGAGTTAGGTCGGAGGCATTATCTCCCTCTATCACTAAATATTAGTGGATGTTTTCTAAGCACAAGGACATTTTCTTACATGACCTCAGCACAGTGATCAGAATGAGGAACCTTATCATCAGTAAAAGACTGTTATCTAATTGACCTAATTCATCTGTGGTACCGACATTGTCCTCCAGTGCCTTTTCTTTTTCTGATCCAGGGTCCCATCCAGGGACAGTCGCTGCATTCCCTTGTCACATCTCTTTGGGATTCTTTAATCTGGCAGAGTTCCTTGGCCTTCCTCTCTCTGTCTTTTCCAACCTTGACATTTTTGAGAACAGGCCTGTTGCTTGGTAGAATGATGTCAGTTTGCATCTGTCTAGTGTTCTCTGGATTCAGATGAGGCGTCTATGGCAGGAATATGTAGGTAGAGCTTTGAGAATCACTTACATAAGAGAGATACCAGGATACCAGGAGAGGAGGTGTGGTTCCAGAAGGGGAAAACATAGCAAGAGCCCATGGTAGAACCCAGAGTGGTGGGGGTGCATGACAAATTATGGCCTTGGCAGGGGCAGAGGCTGTTTCGGGTGTCAGAATGAAGGCGGATGGATGGTGGCTTCTCCTGTAGGTCATTAGGAAAGGGATGATGAGCTGGTTTCTCAAGGATAAGGTCAATACACACCATCATTTCTGGGAACATCTTTATCATGAGTATAGTGAATACCACCCTGTAGATGAGGGAAATTTTGTACCTGCTAAGTTGGAAATGTATCTAGTTTGAGCCTGTTTCAAGGAGATGTGGAATCACTGAAGGGTAGGGGCCCTATTCTGGTCAACTCTGGGTCCCCAGTGCTCAGCACAGGGTCAGGCATGGAGCAAGTGCCTGGGAGTGTTTGTTGAGTGAATGTGTGACTGAGAAAGAAGGTTCTCTCCCATAACCCACAAGAGCTGGGTGGGCAAGGGGTGTCAGTTCCTTTTGGGAAGTGACGTGAGCTGTTTCTTTCTAGGCATTGGATGTGTGGGCCACTGGGGTCACGTTGTACTGCTTTGTCTATGGACAGGTGAGTGCAGGGTGGGCTGGCAGAGCTGGGGCAGGCCCAGACCCCTGGCACCATGGGCTGGGCTTAGCTGAACCAGGATGAAGGACAGGTGCAGGCCCTATTTTGTGTGTAAAGGAACTTTGAAAGAGCCCATCTGGCTCAGAGATAACTGAGGGAAAAGAGTTTTTTTTTCTGTTTTTCTCTTGTCCCTTGGGATGGGATTCATGTGAAGAAATCCTGGGACAGCAGACACCCCGACGGGACACATAGATGGTGGTGTTACCACCTCTCCAGCCAGAGTGCTCCCTGTCTTTCTGTCCCTTGATGCCTTTCATTCATTTATACATTCACTCATCCATTCGCCCTTGACTCCTGCTCTGGGCCTTGGGGACACCCAGCACCGATGTGGCCAAGATCCCTGTCTGCAGTTGCTCCCCTTCCAGTGACCCCATTGAGGGGCAGGAGGGAATCTCAGTGAACATGTTCCTGGGAGTGGAGGCCTTCTTGCAGATGGCTGTGACGCTGGAGGGTACACCTGGCCTCACAGTCCCCTCAGTGACTCATTTGGTCAGTCAGTGCTCATTGAACATCCACTGTGTGCCAGGCCCTGAACAAGTAGATGGGGCCCCTCCCATTTAATGGGGAGCCCAGAGCTATCCCTAAATCCTGGCACCACCAGGAGATGGGCTTGTCCCCCAGGGTGTCAGGGCCCTGGGCCTGCATGCTCTGTCTGTTTCTCCATCCTGCAGTGCCCGTTCATAGACGATTACATCCTGGCCCTGCACAGGAAGATCAAGAATGAGGATGTGGTGTTTCCCAAGGAGTGAGTTGTCCACCAAGGGTCTCCCCCTACCCTGGGAGGCGTGTCTGAGTTCAGCAACAGTTTTTGCCCTTTGAAGGCCCCACCCCAGCCTGCAGGTCTGTAGGTGGGGTGCTGTTCCCTGGGAGGGGCCCTTGAGCAGACGGAGGGGCCAGAATGTAGAGCGGGATCTCAGAGACACGTGGGTCGGATCTCACCCTCCAAATGGAACTTTGAGGCCAGGAGTCAAGCAGGGGTGACTCGCAGGCACACATTCACTCTGTTCCTTCACTGACGGCCTCCTTGGGGCCTGGGGTACCAATCCTACACCCACCCTGGACTCATGGGAAACCTCTGCCTTCCTCCCACAGGGTAGGGGGGCTTGAAGATGCCAGTGTGCCCCCCACCCCCATTTTGCAGATGGAAAAGGGGAGGCTGCAGAGGAGAGTCATCAGCGGGTCTGGGGTTTGAAGCCACTCCTCTCTCCCGGCCCCTTCCTTTGTGACTGAGGTCTCTGTTTGGAGGGACTGTTTGGAGAGGACTTCCTGCTCCTCCACGGTTCTGATTATGGTGTTGATACCATGGCTCCTCATTTGTCGGAGCCCTTCTGCCCTCTGCTCAAAGTCCTTGACAGGTCAGAGGCCAACCTGGGAGTCACCCTCCGTGCCTCCTGCTCCCTCACACCCACTTCCTGTCTGGTCCCCAAGCCCTGCTGAGTCCCCCTCTTATCTGTATCTTGGCTCCATTGGCATGGGTGCTCCTGCCTAGTTCAGGCCTCAGCCTCCTCCAGCCCCACCCTCTGGTCTCCCTGCTGCCAGCCTCCCTCCAGTCCAGTCACCGCATTCAGGCCAGGATGATCCTGATAAAGCACAACATATCTCACTGGATCTTGCACTCAAGGTTTTCTCAAGGCTTCCCAAAGTCCACAGGAAGAGGCCACACCCTAATCCTGGCATTCAGGGACCTCTGGGTTCTTCTGCCACATCACCGCCCTCCCCAACAGCCCTAGCCAACTGGAATCCGTCCCTCTTGCTGCCTCCAGGCCTTTCCTCCTGCTCCACCCCCTGCCGGGACTCTCTCCCCAGCCCAGGAGTTTTAAAGGGGATTAGTGTCTAGGACAGCAGAGGGAAGAAAGGTCAGTAGTCCCAAGAGTGGCTTCCTTCTTAGAGGGATGGGCGCCCCAAGAATGTTGGTAGCAAAGAGCCTGGACTTTGGGCAGAGACAGTCCAGCTGATGTGGGGCTGAGAGTTCTGTCCCCTCATCCAGTCTCTCATCCCTGCCCTCACTTTCCTGGGTAGCAGTGCGCCAACCCTCTAGCCTCTCTGGGCCTTGCTTTCCTCTGTCAAATGAGAATCTCCCCGCCACCTCCAGGTAGAGAGGATTCGATAGGGACCAGGAGTGGGGACCCCTAGTGGCCCATGAGGTGACTGCAGGTTTTCCTCACCATCTTTGCTACCTGAGGGTGCTGGTTCCCCTGGAACTCTGATTGTGGTCTCTGCCTGCTCAGGAAAGAAGGATAGCCATATACTTGTTCTGGGACTCTCTCCTTCTGCCCTGACACCCAGGGGGTATTCCTCCTGCCCTCTGAGAAATGAGGGTTGGGTGGGCTTGCCCTGGTATGCAGGGTTGGGATGGAGAGAGGTGAGGGAAAAGGCCTTCATCAATGGTCTCTCCTTCATCTTCTTCTCCCGACCCCTTTAGGCCAAAGGTCAGCAAGGAGCTCAAGGACCTCATCCTGAAGATGCTCGACAAGAATCCTGAAATGAGAATTGGGGTGCCGGATATCAAGGTTGGGGAGCCAGGGGTCTTGGGCTGGTCTGGGCTGGTCTACAGCAAACAGACCTCAGTTCTCCATAGGACACATGTGTATTGGGTTCGGGTGTGTGGGCTTTGGACTCTCTCGAGGTGATTGCTGGTGGGGTGCCCATGGTCCCTTGCTGACTGGGAGTCTGCTTGCCCGTGGTGCTGAGCCCTCCCTGCCCTCCCAACAGTTGCATCCTTGGGTGACCAAGAATGGGGAGGAGCCCCTTCCCTCAGAGGAGGAGCACTGTAGTGTGGTGGAGGTGACTGAGGAGGAGGTGAAGAACTCAGTGAAGCTCATCCCCAGCTGGACCACGGTGGTAAGGGGGTGAGGGACAGAGGCCCCCTTGTCTTGGTAGAGCCTGGGGAGGGCTTGGCTGTTGCCTGAGACTTGCTCTGTGCTGGACCCTGTTGGGGGACAGAGGGGAGCCTGGTGAGCCAGCCCAGGTGCTGGAGGCTGGTGGGGAAAGAGGTCAAACTATTTAATTACTCAGCCTTAGGGTAGGAACACCAGAGGCTTGGAGAGGGAAGTGCATGATTTAAAGGAACATACTGCCCTCGCTGAGTGTTTGAGAGAAGCATTTCCTCCCTCCCTCACATTTACCAAACGTCTGCTGTTTCCCTGGCACTGTACTGAGTGCCCAGGGCATGTCAGTGAGAAAGCTGAGGAAGCCTTCGAATTGGAGAGGCGGGCCCAGAGCCCCTGGCGTCAGTCAGGCACACTGTGTACTCCCTCCCCTTTGCACCCACAGTTTGCTTTTTCTCATCTTCACCTTGACATCCTCCAAGTTAACTCGGAAGTTATTCGTGTAGTCCCTGATGGCCATTGGGTTTTTGGGGACGCCAAGAGCCATGGCCTACCTTGCTCTGAGGTGTCACGGCAAGTCAGGGTCAGCACAAGGCCAGGAGAAAGCGTGCAGCTGGTGCCAGCGGTGGGATGGGGCCTGTGCACGTCAGCCTTCCCTGCCAGCTTCAGGCTCAGCTGCCAGCTGGCCCCAGTCCTGCCCATCCCTGTGCTCTCCAACACTCCGGGGCTCTGCGGGTCCCTGGAGCCTGTCAGTTTTCATGCATCTCTGCAGCCATTTCCCTCATGTTGGCCCACCATCTCTCTCCTAAACCACTGGAATGGCCTCCCAGGATGTCCCCTGCTTCCACTCTCGCCGCACCCCCCACCCCCGTAGTTAATGCTCAGCTTGGCAGCCAGGGTGGTCCCAGTGACTGAGCGTGCACTTCTCAGTTCAAGCCCCTGTACGCTCAGGTTCCCACCTCATCACTCAGAGTAAGAGCCAAGCCTTGCCTGCCCTGAAAGACCCCACACAGCCCACCTGCTCCCATTTCCCCTGCCAGTCTCCCTGCCCCTCTATTCACTGGACTCCAGCCACGTGCCATGCAAACTGCTGCCCCTGGAGCCTTTGAAGTTTTCTTCTTTCCACCTGAGAAGCTCCTGCCCAGACACCCTCAGGGCTTGCTTCCTCTCTCCATTTAGGTCTTTACTCCAAAGTCACCTTCTCAGTGAGAAGCAAGCCTTCCCGGGACCCTCATCTAAATTCCAACCTCCTCTTTATCCTTTCTCCTTTCCTTGTTTTATTTTCCCCCCCTTAGCCCTTAACCACTGACCGACATACTATATATTTTCCTGATTTGTCTTATTAATTACCTGTCCCCACAACTAGAGCATAAGCTCCATGAGGGCAAGCATTTTTGCCTCAGTGTGGTCCTGTGCCTGGAATCGTGTCTGGCATATAGTAGGTGCTCAGTAGTTACTGATGGGGAGAATGAAAGAATGAAAAGAACAAGTGGAGGCAGCAGCGCTATGCCTGGTGTGTGAGTTTGTGTATGTGTGGGCGGGGCATGGAGCTGTCCTCACTGAGGAGGAGGGAAAAGTCAGACAGGGTGCGGTGGCCAAGCCCCATTCCCTGCATCTCCCAAGGCCACTGTGCAGCTGGCACAGCCTCCCCCACCCATCCTGGCCGCCTTAGCATGAAGGCAAATTCCTAATTGCACTTCCCGTTCCCCCACGATAAAGCCCCCCACCCCGTGTATAGCCTGGCCAGTGCAGACCCTTTGTGGACCCAACCCAGCAGCTGCCGCCTTAGGGAGTCAGCACGGAAGTGGCCCGTGTGTCCAGGAGCCTGGGGCCTGTGTTCCTCACGCTGACATGTCCTCCGCAGATCCTGGTTAAGTCCATGCTGAGAAAGCGTTCCTTTGGGAACCCATTTGAGCCCCAGGTGCGGAGGGACGAGCGGTCCCTGTCTACTCCGGGAAACTTCCTGCCGTAAGTAGAGTGGGGTGAGGCCTGTAGGGCGCTCCCTGGGGTGGGGTGGGGTGGGGACTACGGCACATCTTCCTGACTCTCACTGTCACCGGGCTGTGCAGGCTACACCCAAAGCCTGGGCGCTCAGGTCTTAGAACAGGGCCCCGTTTGCGCTTGTTCTCAGCCCAGTACAGCCTGGTAGAGGTCTGTGGACAGGCCTCATGTCTGCTCCTTGTAGGACTTGTCTGTGGAGGAGGGGAGCTGACTCTTCTGCTGACTCTTCCTGGCCTGGCAGAGTGTTAGCTGCTCTCCTGGAGGCCCATGCCACCTCCAGCCATTGCTGAGGCCGTGTGCTCAGTCAGCACTTTGTGAATGCTTGTCCAGCAAGTATGAGTGGACAAGCTGGCTGACTGGGTCAGGGAAGAGGAACTTGCATTTGCTGAACCAGGCATGTGCATTTACCTCCTTCTAGAAGAAGTCAAAAGAGTGGTTCCCCAAACCTCTGTGAGCCTCATCTGGAGCTTTTCCACCTTCTTCCATGAAAATAAAAGTCAGTTTGGGATGCCAAAAAGGTCTGCTGGAGTTTGTGCCCAGACCTACAGTGAAAGTGGTGAGGGGGTCCAGAATGTGGGCCTGGGACACTGATGGCCTCCCTCTGGCCTGGGAAAGGAGTTGTTCTCCAGACCCGTTCCTGAGAGGGGAGCGCCAGACACTGCCCAGGAGCAGTTTCACTTGTGCCATCCAGGGGCCCAGGTGTTGGTTCTGCATGAGGCCACCCTCTTGTAAATGAGCAGGCTATTCAAGTCCCTTCATAGCAGACAGGCTGGTGTCTGCTCCCTCCAGAGGTTGCTTGCATGGAGGGATGCCCATTTACCAACCTTTTGCTCCATCCCTGATAATCTTCCTGGCCAGTGGGGGATGAGGGGTGGGGTCTAGGAGAGGCCTGGACTGTACTGAGCGTACCTCTGGTTCCCTGTCTCTTTAGCAAGGTGGCCAGGGTTCCTCTAGGCCTGCAGGCCTCAATGCTGGAAGTGGGCTTGTTGTAGGGGAATCACATGTCTAGCATTCAAATGGAGCCACTTTTGAGGTGAAAGAGGAAGTATTGCCAGTTATCCCAGGACAACAGGCTTAGCCAGGGCCCTGACAGCAAACCTGGACATCTGGTCACTCCAGCTTAGTGCCTGTGATTCAGGGCCCCCAAGTGCTGGGACAGGCCAGTTACAGCCTAAGACACAGCCAGCTCCTAGTGCATGCCTGGCACTGGCCAACACAACTGAGCAGGACCATCATTATCCTTTTCTGGATGTCTTAGTGGGGAGACAGGCCAGTTGCCTCATCTGGACTGTGAGAGGATTGGGCTTTAATACTCTCCAGCTATAACATTCTATAATTCTGTGATTCAAGTTTAATTTTGAAAAGTAGGTTTTACCTCATCATAGACTTTCAACATTTGTCCCTGATAGACTGTTTTTCATGCTTTGGGATAATTGATGAAACTTTATACTAGAGTTAAAGGGATTGATCCTTTTAAAAGATACTAAAACCCATTCGTTGGTCATTTAGAAAGAAACATCTTGCAGTAAAACTCAGACATGGCATTTGTTGAATATGTGACAGAATCCCAACACTGATAGGCAGACTCTGTCCAATCTATGAACAAGGCAACGAAAATGCAAAATCAAAGCGCCTCTTGCCCAGGACCGTGGTGCTGATCTAGGCCAACATAGAAGGTCTGTGACCTGGCTGCTGCTCGAGGATGCAGGGAAGGCAGCTGAGTCAGATCGTGAGCAGCTCCAGGAGTCAGGCTGGGAAGTCTCCACTTTACCTCTGGGCAGTAGGGAGCCACACAGGGTTATGGACCAAGACTGGGGTCAGGAGACCAGCAAGGGGTCATGATGCAGGGGGCTGAGACTGAGGCGAGCTCGGGGAAGTGGGCGAGAGGGGATTGGAGAGGCTGTGGATGGAGGGGATTGTGGATTGTGACGGATGTGAATGCCTGTGGAGCACATGAGAGTGTCCTCCTGAAAGCATGTTCTGATCTCTGAGCTACCTCTGCCCCTGGTGTCCCCTGAACAGGAAAGATGGGTGTGGCGAATTGGGCAAGAGCCCAGAGCTCCCCGGCGTCCGAGAAGACGAGGCTGCATCCTGAGCGCCTGCATGCACCCAGGGCCGCCCAGCAGCACGCCCATCCTGCACCTCCAAAGGCCCACTGCCCCCGTGCCGACAGTCGCCCCTGCAGGCAGGGGGCTGGGAACTGGGCCCCCTCCCTGCCCCCGGGCCCCTGTCGTGCTGCATGACTTCTGTGCGCGTGTCCAGGGACAGGAGTGGAATGTGTGTCCTCTGGGTTTGGGGACAGCGCTCCCACAAGGCCTTTCTCCTCATCCTCGCTCTCCCTTCCAGGACCCATCCTGTGGGGAAGAGAGGTACCTGTGGTGCCTTAGAGACCCCATCGAGCTAGCAAGGCCCAGGGGCAGGAGGCAGGACACCAGGATGGCAGGTAGTGGCCTGGCTTACCACCACTGCAGAGACCTCCCACGGGGGGCTGGGCAGGCCTGGCTCTGCTGCCGCACGCACAAGGCAGAGTGTTCCCTGCCCACCCCAGGCAGGTGCTGCCAGAGCTCTTTTCTACTAAGAACACTAACATGGAGGCTCTGCCCTTGATGGGTAATTCAGGGCCTCACCGAGGCAGGGGCTAGTATTGGGGAATTCAGATTCCTTTTTTGTTGTCTTTTACTTTTGTTTTTAACTCGGGAGGGGGGTTGCACAGCCCTGCTTGGGAACATCTGATGAGCTCTCCTACGGCTTTGGGTAGTTCCCAGCACAGCCCAGCAACATTTGACAGCCAAGAGAACTGGACTAACCTTTTAGGATTGCGTTTCACACTTGGCATTGTCTGGAGGATGGACTAAACTAAAGCTCTGAGCAGAAGCCTGAACCAGGGGCATTATACCTTCCCTGCCCACCTCACTCCCTCCCTTCATGGCTTCCCAGAACCTGCAGAAGAGGCACAAGGGGCCAACATTGACTAAGGGCCCTGGACTCACAGGGCGGTGGCCTCGCAGACACTGAAGTAGCAGGAATCCCGGAATCTACACTGGCCTATCCGTCTGGCCCCAGAAGCTGCCCTCACATTCCTACGATGAAGGACAAGCTGCCCAGGTTAGAGGCAGTGCTAGAAATGGGACCCTCGTGGGATGCACACATTGGCAGGTGGCCACGGAGAGGTGGGCCTTCCACCACTGCCTCACCCTCAGGACAGTCGCCATTCAGCCTGCTTGGAGCTGGAGTGCTGGGGCAGACTTATTCTTCCTCTGCCTCTGGGACCCGGCTGGCTGGCGTGGTGTTTACTGACCGAGTGCTCGAGATTGAGCCCCTAGAGGAAAATAAAGCAGGACTCAGATACCTCCCCTGAAAACATGGGCCAAACAAGGATTTCAGTCACCTGCGTGGGTTCATATTGCAGGAGGACTTGTACTGGGAAGGGAAGCTGGGCTGGAGGAGTGCCCACCTCCCACACATCTCTGTGCCTGTGGGTGTACATTTGCGCCTGCACGCACACACATGTGCGTGCCCATCTGCTGCACACAGCACACTTGCATGTCTTGCACTGGCACGTGCATCTGTAATATAGTTTCTTTGTCTATTTAAGGCTATGAGCAGAATGTGGCCCATTATTAATGGGTCTACATTTTTCCCTGGCTCCTCTGCACTAAAGCATTATAAGCCAGGGCTTAAAAAATAATTCGGTACTGTTTTTAAGAACACTTTTATAGAGTTCATGGGAGGCTAATCATAGATCTGCAAGTTTTTCTTGAGCATCCCTGCACTGGGGTCTGGAGGGTAGGGGTTTCAGGGGGCTACATCTATTGGACCTGCCCTAGCAGAGCTCAAAAGGTGGGTCTGGTTTCATTTCTCCTTTCAGAGTGAAGATGGGGTGCTTACCCCATCATTGAGGGTTTTGGTTGGCACCATTAATTTCTAATGTAGCACAAGTGATGAACAAACTCCACAGGAGTGTTTTAGAAATTAACTTCCTGGAAGTGAGTTCAAAATAATAAAAGCCCTTTCTTGAGTTAAAAAACAAAACTGTGTGTACATTTTCTGCATCTGCATGTGTGTTCTTCCTCACCAGCTGTACCATCTGGCTTTGCCAGCTCCTCTGGGAGAGTCTTAGTGGGAGAGTGGGAGGAGCTCTGGGAGGAAGGAGGGAGGGAATGGGGGAAGGGAGAAGGGCTGGCTCTGGAGGGTGAGAAGCTACAGTCCAGGATGCAGCTTGGTCTCCTGAGAAGGTTCTGTGATCCGGCCTTGGGAAGAACAGGGTGTTTGGGAGCCAATGGGCTGCCCATGAAGGGGCAGGGGCCCTGGGTGACCAAGGTTGTCAAACGGAGTTGTCACCGTTCCTCATGGGGCGGAAGTCCCAGGGGAGACTCAGGAGTCCCTGTGACATTGTCCGGTGGCCTCCCTATGCCTCTTAGCGTTGTTTTGGGCTTTTTAGACCTAGCGGCTCTCTGCTCATAGTAGGGCCCTCCGTGGCCGTGGTGAAAGGAGGCAGCACTGGGGTCAGACAGCCTTGAGCTTGAATCCAAACTTTGCCATTTCATAGCTGCATGACCTTCGGCAAGTCATTGACACTAGGAGCGGATAAAGTCAGCACCTCCTCAGGCAGTACTCGAGAGGCTACAGGAAGTCCTTCTGCCAAGCGGCTGACGTGTACTTGGTATGTGGTAAGTATTCAGCAAATGAGACCCTTGAAAGAAAACCAGAGTGCTTTCTGCCTCAGGGGCTGCCTGGAACCAGCCTTAGTAGCTGCAGGCTCAGCACGTCCTGCATGATTGGTATTTGCTCATATGTGGAGCTTCTGGCTGGGTGAGACGAGCCCAACCCGAAAGAGACCAAGCTCGAGGCTGCCCAGTGGGGTGATCAGTTTTTCCATCTGAGAAACGGAGACCAAAGCTGCTCCTGCCCCTGTGCTGGTCGTCCTGTCAGGGGCAATGAGGGGCTGCACCAAGCCTTCTCCCGGAGGGGTGCTGGCTGCGAGGCACCAGTTCCCCGGCTGCCAAAACTAGTAAGTGATTCTTGCTCCCGCTTCCTCCCCACTACCGTGGCCCTCCATTCGAGACCCCACTATCTCTCACGTCCTCACTGGTCTCTGGTGTCGGTCCCCGGCACTCCACACCGTCCTCTAACCAGCTGCTGGAGTGATCTTCAGGCACCTGCCTGACCATGCCCGTGCCTCTCAGGACCCTCCCATGCTTTCCACAGTGCTCTGCCTGGTGCTTGAGGCTCCTTCCATCAGCCCCGCTGGACTCTCAGGGTGCTCTCTTGACCCAGACCCCACCCATCCACACTCCATCCATTCCCCCAGCTCTTTAGGCACCCCCACTCCTCCAGGACACTGCCTTCTCCCATCCCAGCCTCTGCTTATCAGAGTCTGCCCCACCCTCCAAGGCATGTCCTGCAGTAGGAAAAATTCCCCAGGCTGGTTCATCCCAGGTGTGGTCACCAAATCCTGGGCCTGGGTCTGACAGGCCAGATCATCATGTGTGAGAGCTTTGAATAGGATGGCAGGTATTTGATGTCATTTCCCCACCAGGACAACCACTCTAGGAGGTAGGGAAACTGAAGTCCAGGGAGCAGTGACTTGCTCAGTCACATAGCGAGGCAGGAAAGAGCTAGGCTAGAGCGCAGGTCTCCTGCCTACCCGTCCAAGCAGGTCTTCCCACACTAGCGGCCAGAAAATCCCAGAGGCCCACACCGATACAACTGGGGGGGTCCGAGCGGGAGGGGAAATCAGACGGAGGCTGCAGTTCCGGATCTAACCACACGGGGGTGCTAAGCCCAGGCCAGCGTGTCCTGTAGAAGGCCAGGGAGCAGTCCTGCGTTTGCCCCTGGAGGCCGGTTTCCTCGCAGAGAATCTTAGGGATCTGGATCCCACAGGCACTTTGCCTGGTCTCTGCTCCCGCCATCCTTTATCATCCTATATGGTCTCGGCCTGGGGAGAGGAGGTGAGGGATACTGATGATTCCAGTTTTCCCACGGGGACACCCAGACATGTACTGGGGCCCATATAAACACCCCACAGGCTATGGAGTCACCACACGGCCTCCCGTAGGGCAAACAAACAGGGCTGCTTCCTGGGCCCCTGGGTCTACCAAGGGAGGACAGGGGAGCCATGCTCTGGGTAGTACTGGGCCCTGGGGGCCAACTGAGGCCCAGGAGGAGACCAAGAGGGTCCGGAGAGGGGCCAGTCCTCCACCTCACCTACAGAACAGAATCCTGGCCTGCCAGGACTCCCTGCACCGCTCCATCCCCCTCCTGGACTAGGCATGCATGGCTTAAAGGACCATCTCCTACCCCCAGTCCCACCTGCCATACACATACAGATCTGGCTCTGCCCTCCAGGGTCTCAGCCACACCCATTTCTCCATTCAGGGTGACCAGAGAGCAGAGTCGGGGTTCTCTCACTCTCCAGGGCAGCTGCCAGTCCCCACCCAGGTCGGGCTAACCAGTTTTTCATGAGCGCACCCCAGTTTTGTGGTCAGCCTCCCTGCCTTCCTCACTGCCTCGGTCCCTCCCATCTCCAGGTCACCTCGTCCAGGAAGCCTTGCCTGGTTCCCAGAGGCGCCCTTGGCATGTAGTCTGGTGTCAGGTCCATCTCCTACAAGACTGGAACAAGGGCCCAAGAATTTTCCCACTGGCTGAGTCACTTCCACAACTTATATCTGCCCACTCACTGTTTCACCAGATGAGGGCCCATCGAAGAGTGTCTCAGCTGAATCACAAGAATGGGGCCTTCCTCTGGAGTCCCATTCTGTCCTCCTGATGCCTAGTAAGCCCCTTCTCTGGCCTGTATATCTCTGGCCTTTTCTGATCCTCTGTTCCTTCTCCTCAGCCTACAAACAGGTTCAGGCCTCCCCTGTAGCTGTAAACTGAATTTACACCCTCTTGGCTTTCTGAAGGCCGCTGCCCCACACTCCTGGGCATGCAGGAGGCAGCCCCTCCTGCCTTCTCTCAGATGCCCTCTGCATGGGCTCCTTCTTCCCTGTCATCGCCCAGCTCACTCTATCTCATCCCCAGCAGTACCCGTCACTGTGCGTTCCATTTGGCTGGTGCTTTCCATAGCCTGTGGGGTGTTTATATCAGAAGCCCTTTGATACCCACTCTCCCTTCATCCTTTGGTCTTCCCAAGACCCTCCCCCCATAGCCCTGGCACAGGTCTACGCTAAAGTAATGGCACCGGAACCATGGGGAACTGCAACACAGAAAGGGGCTGGTTAAACCTCCACGCTTGGTCGGTCCCAGGGTCCAGAGGACCATCCCTAAGGTGTGGGAGCTCTCACAAAAGAGGATCCCTGTCCTCAGATACCCTCCCTCCTCCTTTCAGGAAATATGTGCCATGCCAACATGTACCTGCCTTTCTGGGAAACCCACCCAAAGCTGAGGGAGAGGTCCCAGCTGTGGTCTGCCCCTCCCATTCCCAATTTGGTCTAATCAGTAGTCATTATCCTGGTACATGCTAGAATCACCTAGGGAGCTTTTAAAAAATCCTGATGCCTGGGTTCTGCCTTTGGAAACTAATTTAGTTGGTCCAGGATATAGTCTGGATGTCAGGATTTTTTTTTTTTTTTTGTAGATAATTATTTTTTATTGAAGGGTAGTTGACACNGTGGGCGGGGCATGGAGCTGTCCTCACTGAGGAGGAGGGAAAAGTCAGACAGGGTGCGGTGGCCAAGCCCCATTCCCTGCATCTCCCAAGGCCACTGTGCAGCTGGCACAGCCTCCCCCACCCATCCTGGCCGCCTTAGCATGAAGGCAAATTCCTAATTGCACTTCCCGTTCCCCCACGATAAAGCCCCCCACCCCGTGTATAGCCTGGCCAGTGCAGACCCTTTGTGGACCCAACCCAGCAGCTGCCGCCTTAGGGAGTCAGCACGGAAGTGGCCCGTGTGTCCAGGAGCCTGGGGCCTGTGTTCCTCACGCTGACATGTCCTCCGCAGATCCTGGTTAAGTCCATGCTGAGAAAGCGTTCCTTTGGGAACCCATTTGAGCCCCAGGTGCGGAGGGACGAGCGGTCCCTGTCTACTCCGGGAAACTTCCTGCCGTAAGTAGAGTGGGGTGAGGCCTGTAGGGCGCTCCCTGGGGTGGGGTGGGGTGGGGACTACGGCACATCTTCCTGACTCTCACTGTCACCGGGCTGTGCAGGCTACACCCAAAGCCTGGGCGCTCAGGTCTTAGAACAGGGCCCCGTTTGCGCTTGTTCTCAGCCCAGTACAGCCTGGTAGAGGTCTGTGGACAGGCCTCATGTCTGCTCCTTGTAGGACTTGTCTGTGGAGGAGGGGAGCTGACTCTTCTGCTGACTCTTCCTGGCCTGGCAGAGTGTTAGCTGCTCTCCTGGAGGCCCATGCCACCTCCAGCCATTGCTGAGGCCGTGTGCTCAGTCAGCACTTTGTGAATGCTTGTCCAGCAAGTATGAGTGGACAAGCTGGCTGACTGGGTCAGGGAAGAGGAACTTGCATTTGCTGAACCAGGCATGTGCATTTACCTCCTTCTAGAAGAAGTCAAAAGAGTGGTTCCCCAAACCTCTGTGAGCCTCATCTGGAGCTTTTCCACCTTCTTCCATGAAAATAAAAGTCAGTTTGGGATGCCAAAAAGGTCTGCTGGAGTTTGTGCCCAGACCTACAGTGAAAGTGGTGAGGGGGTCCAGAATGTGGGCCTGGGACACTGATGGCCTCCCTCTGGCCTGGGAAAGGAGTTGTTCTCCAGACCCGTTCCTGAGAGGGGAGCGCCAGACACTGCCCAGGAGCAGTTTCACTTGTGCCATCCAGGGGCCCAGGTGTTGGTTCTGCATGAGGCCACCCTCTTGTAAATGAGCAGGCTATTCAAGTCCCTTCATAGCAGACAGGCTGGTGTCTGCTCCCTCCAGAGGTTGCTTGCATGGAGGGATGCCCATTTACCAACCTTTTGCTCCATCCCTGATAATCTTCCTGGCCAGTGGGGGATGAGGGGTGGGGTCTAGGAGAGGCCTGGACTGTACTGAGCGTACCTCTGGTTCCCTGTCTCTTTAGCAAGGTGGCCAGGG